AAAATAGGTAGTTACAAATCGTTCCAGTACGCTCTATCATTCTCTAGAAATATATAAAACTCTCTATAAAAGCAGGACTTCTTTTGCTTGGTCATTCAGAGATTTGAGAGCAGAAGAAGAATCAACGTTTGCTATAAGTTTACTATATTGACGATGTACGGTGACATAATTTACGGAGATCCATGGGCAACTGGCTATCCACCTCGACGTGGTCATAACGAAGGAAACCTCTTCATGAGCTCGGGGGATTTTCACGGAGAAAGACCGTTTCCCTTTTGGGAAAACCCAGCAGTTTACTTTCCACCTGCCAACCCCCAAAAAGTTTCCACAGGGAAGAAAACGAGACGAGCTCCAAAGGATAAACAAACGTTGGATGATACGAGAGTCCCATTGCAGCACAATGCAAGGGAAAACCCCTTTTCGAGGCACAAGGGTACGAAACCGAAAGGGGACACAAAGCAAACGAGATCATCACGGCCAAAGAAAACCCAAGATGAATGGAATATACCTATTGAGTATCAACCCCAGGAAGAAACTGTGACGACCAACGACTCTAGCGAGGAGGCTTGGAGGGAAGATCATTGTGATGCCACAAATGCACTGATTACAGATAATGAAGAACAAACCGCGGGCGAGACTGCACAGACCTCAGCCGAACACAGGTGTATTCCAGTGACCACAGAGGAAGAAAGTGCAAAGGAAAGTCGACCGGTAGTGGATAATCAAGATGACTCACCACCCGAAATACAAACTGCAAACGAACAGAAACTTGCGGCAATCAAGAATGAATTGGTGCGAGCCACAGAACTGATTTCCAGGGTGGTGGCCTTTAAAGGAACAAGGAAAGACAAAGAATTCCTTTATTTAGAAGAATATCTAACTCGTTGCTTACTTGGTCTAGACTTAATCGAAACAGACGGACAAGAGAATGTAAAATGCGCTCGAAGGGCAGCCGTGAAATATATTTATTCGATTCTCAATGATCTAGAAGATAGAGTCAGTGATGAAAGCTAGGGGTACTTGATAGACATGATCACTATGATTCTGTTGCTTTCTAAAATGCAAACTCGATCCAAACTCGGGGTGCTTCAATTTGGAACGCTGCTTCTGTTCAGTGGTATATTATTTTGCGTCAATAGTAAAAAAGAAGATCAATGTTGACAATCAGATCTTAGTCTAATTTGAGTAAGTATTGTAATGCAACCTCTGTCAAAACTCAAACAAAGAACGTGAACAAATCTAGGGGGTTTTTTATTTTGATTTTTTTATTTTGCATGGAGTCATTCCTGGATATAGCTGTAAATAAAATTTTAATGCAAGTGTGTTATGTTAATGTTTTTCATGAACCTAGTTAAAAAAAACTCAACCCCAGAAGCAATTGTTTGTGTTTAGAAAGGAGGGTGTCTTTCGCGTAAAAAATTGTTTCTTGCAAAGGCTGCGGTCAACCTTTAGAATTTCAGGAATAAAATGTCTTACTCTTGAATCAAATTGAGTTGAATAAAACTACTTACGCCTCGCAAAGCGAAAATTCTTTTCACCTGTTAAATATCTGCAACCACAAAGCCTCCAGTCGAGAACGGAATATTCAAATCACGCAACACGAAATATTCAGATCACTGTTTATTACGTCACGCGTCCGTAATTTTGTCGGTGTGTCACAAACGGAACACAGCTGTTGCATCAACGAATCGCCGTTCACGCTGAAAGGAAATTATTTAAAAACTGCTCCAAGCGCTGATGTTCAATTTCTCGGTAAAGGAAAGAGTATTAAATTTTGATAAGATTAAATCTGTCATGACAGGTTCGACAACTGGTACGGAATTGGAACCAGCTTTGCCTGTCACATGCTGAAAAATGAGTTAAATTGTCTATTCTAGGAATCGTTGAATTCAAATACTCTTATTTTTAGGAAAAGCTCATTATTTTATCAAAAGAATAGGATTAGTAGAGAAATAAGTTTCACCTTACTCTGAGATCACGTACGTGTAAGTCCCTCTCCCCTCCCCTCTCATGCATGAGCATACAAAGTCAGGAAGTTGAAACTTGAAATGAGTCGATGCACTTAAGTAATGCTAGAAAATATCGAATATAAAGGTGTTTAACAGATTTCTTCGGAATCATCAGTGACTTTCCACCACAGCTGAATAGAAATATTCTGACTTTGCTTTTCATTCGGTTAAAGTTATATGCAATAGTCTTAGAAATAGCTTCTCGATTATAGTGGGCGATTGAGATGGTTTTAAGGCATGTAAAGAAACAAAAATTAACTTCCTTAAGCGATGAAATGTTCAAAATCGAAAAAGTAATTCAAAGCTGTTATGATGATTCAAATATATAGGGATCCTCCAAGCGTCACTGGCAGTTCTAATCAATGAACTGCTTTTGACCTTTTATTGTTGTCCTAAGTAGTTCTCTCCATATAAGGTTGGGTTTTTAAAGGAAATTTCTTTAAACAGGAAACTCTAACGCAACGACTTCCTGCCCTCAAGTCGACGATGACATGGCAACCTCAGCTGTTTGACCTAATAAACTTTTCTAGATTTACTTTCAAGATAATTTTGAACATCCGTATTTTCAGTTATGTTCTTTTTTTCGTTAACCCTTGTACCTCTTTTGTTATGATCGTAAAAACCAAAATTTATCGTTTTCTATACCACAGGAACTCGTATGCGACTCTTATCAGTCGCTCTTCTGTTCAAGTTCCTCCTTCAGAATCTTCAAATCTCGTTTACATACACTGCAAGGACTCTAATTCGCAAAAACAAAAATATCTTTTATAAAGTCAACTCTGGCATTGGACTTTCTTTGCGAGCGATGAGTTCGTTACATTAAAACAAGCCATTCGTAAATGGCACGATTTTTTTTTTAATATGTATGTACAAAACTATAACACTGAAGCCGATTGCACCCTAATACACAGCCAGCTGGTTTCAAACATGATTTACAAATAATTACTTTTTCTGCAACATGTTTCGTTTTAAGCTGATTTTTTGAATTTCATTTCATACAAAGTAGATATTTCTCCGTGATTTTACATCTCACGTAAAAGTGCACTTGAGATGATTATTAATGCAAATGTACATTTACAGAAGTCCTGCTTCCGCGCAGAACTCGTTTTCGATATAAATCCATTGTTATCACTGTGGAGCATTTTACCATCAGCGAAGCTGTTCAATTTCTGCCAAAAAATACATAGCAGTAATGTGTCTTCGATTATCCTGGTTATTTATTATTCTCCTGCTCTCTTCTTTCCTCTGCGGTAAGCCTTCCCACAAAGGAAGGCATGTCCGCAATGAGGAAGTCCTAAGCTACAGATTGTTGACAGAATGCAGTAGTTTAATATTAATGAAAAATATTTCTCACACGTATCAGCGCAAAATCAGCTCCCATAGAAGAAATCCGTTGTGTCAGGGGTATCTCGAGTGAGAACACCTCTGCGATGAAGCTCCCTTTTTCGCCTGGAGTTTTGCTGCTGCATTCCAGAGTCTACAATAGGATAAACAACTTGCAGATGCGGCGCGGGTACGGGTAACGCAACTCGAGCTTGATCGCTTAAATTTCCAGGAAAGTTCGGCAATGTTGATTGTGAATAAGAAGGTAGATTAAGCATTGTCGTTTCGCCTCTTTCCTGCATCATTGCCACTTCTTTGTCCCTTTTCTCTCGTTCAAACGCGTTCTTGTACATGTCTACCTCTCGGGTGAGTGTCGATATTAGGTCTTGACAGTCCGTGATTTGTTCTGAAAGCTCGGAGACTTTACTCTGTGCCTCTTCTTTGTCACTTCTCTCTTTCTGAAAGTCATTTTCGTATATACTTAGCTGCTCTACGTAGAGCTCCAGCTCAGAACATGAATTGTCCTTTCCTAGCGCTTCTGCTAATCTCAAGATTTCTGACTCCAACACTGTTTTGTGATCCTCCAATGACATAATTTGCGCGCGTGATTCGCGCAAACTATTCTCAAGAGCTTCGATTTTCGATGCGAGATCTTCCGCTTCGCCTCGATCGCTTACGCTAACGAGGGAATTAGTATTAGAGCAAGCGGTAGAATCACTCCCTGCTGTCTCCCTTTCTCTGAGTCTCTTTCTCAAATCATAACATTCTTCCTTCAACTTCCTTGACAACTTACGTTCGTTCTCCAAATCCTCGTTCAATCGTCGTTTGTCTCTGAGAAGAGAGAGAACGTACGCGTTTGTTCTCTCTAATTCACGTTCGACTCTCGTTTCTTTCGCATCCGTATTATCATCCATCGATGTTTCGGATTTAAGAAATTTTATTCTTACGATCTGTACATGTCTAACCGCTCGTTCTCTTACCTGACTGTATCGCGTAATGAAGACTATATACCACCGTGTGCGGAAGTTATAACGTTGGTAACGTCACGTGACGTAGACTTCTCAGAAGCCCATAGTTCGAGGTGATTTCACCGACGTGAATACATATATTCTATTCCCACAACTATTGGTCTTTGCTCTAAGTCAAGCTAAAATATATATTTTTCGCTTCGAGTTGTGTCGAAAAGCAGCTGTAAGTTACGGAAATTGCATTGACATCATTAGTGATTGTTTTTCTCGAACATCCACTGCAAAAGTACGGGAAGAAAGTCGTAAGAATCAGACTTCCTGTTGAACGATATCACAATTTTGCGTTTTGTTTACATTCTAAACAGCAATATGGTAAAACATCACCACAGAAACACACTTGGTCGCTAGATATGTGTAAAACGTGATTCAGTGGTGTTTTTACAACCGACAAAATAATTTATTTTTTGGATCTCTTCGAATTCGTTTTGAATTCTGTCAGGACACGCACCTAGTGCAGATTTAATTAATCTTCCATTTTGAGCATCTTTGAATGAAAAATACGATAATAACCTATTTAAGAGAAAGAAACTGTAAGATTTTTAAGTCACTGGTCAAAAAGCGACACCCCGATTCAGCTGCTGAATTTCTAAAAATAAAAAGCTATTTCTTCGGGATTTTCCTTTGTCGGTGTAAGTCCCTTCCATATTAATAAACAAAGAAAATCAAGAAAAATGAAATAAAGAAAACAGTTTTTAACATCATTTTCGCTCGGTCATACTTTATTCTTTCGATTTTAAAACCTTAATTTATACATTAGCATCGGAGCGGAATGAGGAACATGCATTTGAGGAACATTTGAAGATGTGAAACCCCGTTCGATCAAACGGGAAATGAATACAGAGTGGGCAATTAGATCATCGATTGAAGTAGTTTTAATTTTACTTTCAGCGACTAACATCCACCTTTTAGCCACATTGAAGCCAAAAGAAACGTATATACGTGAATAACGTTAAAAAAGTAAGATAATCTGTAGTTTCAATCCCCGAAGCCTAACAAAGAATCTTCAAATTACAGGTTTTTCTTAGTATGCAAATATTGGAAACGTCCTAGCGTGACGTCTCTAGGATGTTGGTGTTCGTTACATGTAAACAACTCAGATGTCACGTTCTAGGAGCTTTTTTTTTCTGCCAGGCCGGATTTCCCCATGCTTCGAAAAGCTATCTTTTCAGTAAAGGTTTTCCTTTACCGAATTACACCCACTGACAAAATTTTTAAACTGCTTTATTTTAAATTTACAGATTTTAACATAAATGGATGTCGTTACAAGATGCCACCGAGATGGCCATGTTAAGCATCTTGGTTTGGTTTTGTTCTTTTGTTCCTTTTTAAAACATCCCTTTCTCATTGTTTACAAAATTCAAACTTTACCTTCAATTACTATGAAAAAATTTCAGTTTCAGCATATTTGGAAGCATATTCTAATTTAGACCCATTCATAGTTCGACAGGAACATCTAAAGTTATGTAAGAAGTTGTTATTACAATTTTAATCAGAAATAATTTGTCTCCCTAGATGACAACCTGTATTCCATGCCACAATTAAAGGGATATAAAAAGAAAATAATACCATTATCGGTGGTAGGGCAGAATGTAAAGGTTGAATCCCCAATTACACAAACTTGTTAACAATACCACGCGCACAACTGAGAGGGAACTATTTTTGGCCTATAGATAAAAAGGACTTCAGAATCTTCCTGTTAACAAAAATCAACTTTTTTCCTATTTCTTTATAAACTAGTGGGCAAGATGCTCTTTTTGAGAACAATTTTTCTAAAATTAAGCAAGAGCACAGAGACTATTCTTTCTCTCACTTCTGTGCTGGCCAATTTCTACGTAAATGGAGAACTACTGTTAACTTGTGACCGTCACAAACTTGCAGACTAAGTGAGACAAGACGTAAGACATGTGAGAAAGATTTTAAAGATTAAGCAGGCAGTCGTGTCTCCTGACGCTGTCAAATTTACGGTCACAATTTGTATAAGTTCATGTTTCTCACTGCTTCAGTATAAACGCGCATCCTCATGCTGTGATTAACCTTGTCGATAATTATGGGAAACTGAAGCCGATCAAAATCCTTTAAGCAAGAAGAAAGCACGCCAAAAAACCTTGTATTGTGACGCAGCCTGGGCCACGAATTTAGTATTTCCTTTACAGTTCTAAGAGACTAGCCCATATTTTTCGCCTGAGGTAGTGAGATTGGGAGGATTTTGGCTGGGATCGCATGGTTTTTTTAGATGGAAACAGTGGGGAAATCATTTATCTCTGACAAGAGGACTATATGATATGGAAAACCAATAAATGGGGGGGGGGGAAAGGACCAGAAAAAGGATACAGAGGCTTAGGGCGGGAGTCTGGTAAATTTTATTATGACATTACCAAAATCTTTCGATTCCCCCCCCCCCCCCCTTGGCAGTGAAAAAAATGAGCTGTTCCTAGGCCCGAATAACTATTTCTATAGGAGCCCCTAATCACATTGTAACACCTGTTTGTGTCTCATTGTGTCTGTGTCTGTGTCTGTCAATGTGTTCACAGAAGTCTTATGACCTTGGTTTTTTGTATTCTTGCTGAAATTGCCAATGAACTTGAACACACCTGCAGTAAACAATCTGTCAAAATGTAAACCGGATTTCCCATAAAAAAAATATTTCATTATCGCCAAGGTCAGTGAATCGAACAGGGTCATTGTACATGGCAGATTTACTTTTTATTTTGTGTGGGCGTAGTACAGATCACTGGCCAAAAATAGTAAGCTGAAAAGAAACATAAAGGTTATTAATATCTGGCTCTTTTGACACCCTTCAACAACGCTTTATCTTTAGAACAGCTCCACAAATTTTTCCTCTCTCCGTCGTAAGTCGCATGTTATCTGTTCTATCGATACATACAGGATGCAATTATGTACGTGAGAAGTTATCGTCACAGATGTGAACATAAACTGTCTGACTGGCCTTTAAAACGTCACAAGATGAGCCTGCCTCGTTATTTCCATTAGTTCTTCATGCTCCTTATTGTTTTATCATCGCTTGTATTGTGTTTTTCTGTTTTTCTGTTTTTACCGAGCTAATACTTTGTAGTCTCCACTAACCTGAAGGGAATTTTGACTCAAAATATCTAGTTGTAGATAACCATTAAATAAACAGACACGGTAGCTTTATTTTCTTTCCATATAAAAGAAAATTATTTTTTTCCTATCTCTCATCACTTATCCAATTCCAAGTTCCGATTCACATAAGATCAGCATATTTTACGGACGTTGTACAATGACGTTTACGAAGAACGTGCATCTTGTTACTCTTCACAGAAACGTGACTTGTTGCACAGACCTCTCTTTTGCGAAAAGAAGAAGAATCTTACAATTTTAGGATTATGCACCACTGTGTCACTCAGAATTTCCTACTGAAAATTACCGGTTTTTTATTCAGTCAACTATTTCTTAGCTGAACTCTATTACGCACACCAATCTGTGTGCAAAATATTCCTTGATGGACACGCTTGCCCACACAAATCGACAGGAACTAAGAGGAAATATGAATTAATTTGATTGATTTGTCACCCTAAGCCCACACCGGCTATAAAAAACGTGCTATATTGTAAGCAAACATTTCAAAAGTGTTTACTTAAAAGCTTACTGCAAAAAAACGGGTAAAATTTGTAAAAGTTTCCTTGTACTCTGAAAAATGCTTTCCTTGCTTTTTCATTTACATTTCCCGCAGGTAAATTCAGCACGTGTCTCGTCATGCCATTTTAGCCTAGGTTGTTTCCTGCGAGAAAAATCTTCTTCCTGTTCATAATCATGAATTTGTTTCTTTAAGTCTTCTTGTCACATAAACAGGAAGCTTGAGATTGTGGAATTTAGCCTTTGACCACTAGAAGTCTTAGAGATCACAAACCACCGTGACTAGAAGATAAATTTATCTACTTTCAATGATAGTTCTGTCACTATCTATTACGTGACAGAGTAAATGGCGTAGGCAATCAGACTGCAATATTCGTTAAAGAACGCAATTAAATTTTATACCAAATCGGGTAAAAGCGAGAGTGCCTGCCTCTCATGGCTGTGGCCGTGGTTAGATTCTTGTACACATGAGCACGAGCTGCCAAATTTCGAGAGGAAGAATCGTGACAATATGACATCAACGGAACAGCTATTAAAATTCGAAAAACATCCTGCCAATTTTATACATTTCACAAGAAGTCCTGGAGGTTGCGGTACGCAGACCAAATGAATTAAGGATAACGTTTCAACCAGCCTACACTAACTTTAAATTTATTGTACAAATATTTGTTAAAATGAAAAGAGATATTTTCTGACACTTAATACAAGCTTTTTTGACTGATTATTAATAGCTCTGACTTCCGCTTAATCAATTCTGTCAAGAAATGACATATTGTGAAATCCCTTTATCACTGCGGTTTAGTTACGACTCAAGGGTTTAAGTGTCGCAGGAAGAAACGGATTTGAAGAATTTTTTTTTTAATTATTCCAAAAAAATAATGCCTGCACTAAAATTGTTTTACGGTCTCCTATCTAAACAACCTGTTTCCTTTTAAGCTAAGCGCTAAAGGCACCATCCAGATCCTGTTTGTAATATTTGTCACGACCACATAAATATTGATCCTGCTTCAATCTTCAATTTGTCACACGTCAAGATACGCGTTATATAACTGAAGAACAATATTATTAATTGACGCTTTTGAATACAAGAACAAAACGATTTCAGTTGTCTAAACAACCCCATTTTATCTTGGACCTGAATCCGTCCCCCTTGGAAATACCGTTGTGAGTTGCCTTCAACTATGACGATCTCTGCAGACTACATGTATCTCTCCCAAATTGTTTTTCGTTTCCGTTGAGAGATCACAGAAGTCTCATCTTTGACCTCGCTTCAGCAAATTCAACAAGGCCTTCTAACCACAAAGCGCATTCCAGAACGGTAGCCTGTCAGCAGCACTTGATTTCAACTTCCTGTATAAAGACCTCTCCGTTGAGCAAGATCGAAGAGATTATGCCTCTAATGAAAGTGGAAGTGTTCCAGAACGTTTTGACGCCTTCCAAGACATAAGCAAATTTTGGCCTTATAGTTCTCAAGAAAAAGTTTCTTAGAAAAATGAACATAAAGTTTTCTCCCTCTGTGATTAACCAAAGGATCTCAAGCAAGGCTCGACTTTCGCTTTAGCAAAGTCAAAACGGCCCTCTCACCGCAAAACGCATTCCTGAACGGTCGCCTGTCAGAAACACTTGATAATATGCACCTCTCCACTCCGGAAAGACGAAGTGTACAAGAGGATTTCGATGCCTTCGAAGGCATAGGCAGACGCTCTCTCAGGGTGGTATGGGGGGGGGGGTAAGTGTGTTTTAAATACACGAGTTTTCGCAATAAAAGTACAAACAGTTTTAAGAGCCTCTAAAATTTCCAACTTCCTTACATAGAATTCTAGGCTTCGCCGTATACAAAGATGCACAATCATTTCCTGTATTAAGATTACAATTGAACAGTGTTGAATTGTGTCTTTTCACCTTGTGGCTTTTTGTCGTTTAAGCGAAACAGGAAACCAACACATCGATGATACAAAATACAAAAGGGATGTCAGTTATGACGGAAGTCAACACCAGATAATATCGGAGTAAACGCGGTTTTCGCTGTGACATCAAGAACCCTCAATCCCTTACATAACCACACTCGAACAGAAAGCATGCCACGTCCTTGTTACAGAAGCAAAATAGTTTATCAGTCAGGTATTTCAAGATATCGGAAAAGGAAAGTAATTCATCAACCTCCATCACTTTTATCAAATAGATAAATAAACAACGTGCTATATATCACACGATTTGCCAAACAATCGAAGTCTTAAATAAATTTCTTCGGTTCGATAATTCATAAAAAAATTCAAAATTCGAATAACAATTGTTCCCATTTTCCATTTTATTGCCCAATATCCTTCTTTCACTATCCACAGACATTCCTTTGGCGATCTGCTAAACTGGCTTAACTTTCACTTTACCCGAACGTCTCTGTGAAGCAAGTGACAGCGCTTTACTTTCGAAAGGTGATTTATACTTCCCATACGCACACAGTCCTAAGCATTTGGGGTTCGTGAGGCCTTCATCAGCAGAAGAGACAACGATCGTGATAGTTTCTTAACCTAAATTTTGATATCTATTTATTTACGATAATTTTGGACATTTTATTAGCCCACTTAAAAGTTATATGCTTCACACAAGCTGCGTTTCAGTCCTCATTAACAAAGGTGACGTGACAGTTATCACATTAACATGTAACTAAAAACATTTCGTATAAAGAGTGAATAAATATGACAATAACAGTAGATTATGTCGATTCAACTGTTACTCCATATTCAACAAGGGGTTGAAGATTCTACATAAATACATTGAAAAAGTTCTACGGCTGTGTGACTCGTCGTGAGGAGAAGCACGAAACTGATGCTGTTAAAATATACTTCAGTCTGTTGAATCTCAGAGTTAGAACCTATTTGTTACTCTGTATTATCGTAAATATTTTTATATTCTGATTTGAAAACTACGTTAAAGATTACCCACCTTTCTCCCAACAGGATCAAGTTGAGGGAGGGGTGGGTTGGAGAGAAATGGGGGTGGGTTGGGGGAGGGAAGGGGGCGTGGTTGTGATGGGCTTGAAAGGGAAATTAATATTATGTAACGTAACGTTATCAAATTCATCACTCTCACTGATTTTTCCCTCAGATCAAAGACGGAGGTTATGTAAGATTTTATAAATAAACATTATAATTTTCTACTCTAGCGTAATTAGAAGTAAAAAAAACTGTTCTAGAAATGAGAAACAAACAAACAAACAAACAAACAAAAACAAAACAATACAGAACGGAAAAAAAAAACGTGTTAAATGGAAATGAGCACATCTGGTATCTAATTTAAGAAACTGTTTAAAGATCTGATCCAGAGGGGAAAACCCCAGTTATTTCTGGATAGTAACTTTCTTTTTCTAAAATTAGCACTTTCTGAATACAAAACTTCTGAGAAGAGCGTTGTTTTTACGTCCACTTTGCAAGAAGGGAAGTGTAATGCTCTAAGTTTCTTCTTCGCTGCTGCTGAAGGTAGCTTTTTCCCGCTGAGAGCTGAAAAGAAAAAAACATGACTCTTTTGAATAGAAACTAAACATTTTGAGTAAATGATGCATCATATTAAACAACATTCGCGTCAGATTTAAATCTGGCGAAAGTCATATTTGAACGATACGACATAAGCTGCTGAGGGAGAGCAAGGGCCGAGTCAGAGCAAAGTTTCCCATCGAAACCAAAGGCAGGACAACAACACCCTTCCACTTCATACAGAAATCACCTAATAGGTTAATAAGTGAAAAATTTAAAGACATATTTCAAACTGCTAAAAACCTTCAATACACCATCCAAACACTTACATCTGTGTACATTTGGTGAGTTAAAAAAATAGCAAATTAGCGAATACATGTTCTTACCCTACCGCCTCTAAGAGTTATAGAAAACGTTATGGGTGATGATTTTTCGCTTAACTTTTTTTACCAAAAGGAAAACCGTAATAAATTTATGTTCAGTCTAGTGCTCATTCTAACCTGTTACCCCCAATTAATTTCGATACTCAATGAGAAATTGCTCAACTGCCGGCATTACTGACGTTCGCGCGTATAACTTATGGTATAACCCTCCACCCACCCCCCACCCCTTCCCTTCCACTGAGCTGAGAGAATCTCTTCTTTAATTTAAAGAAACAGCGGCGTGGAAGGAGAGGGGAGTATTGCTCCTCACATAAATGGTTAGACGAGAATAAGTTTCATGAGATAAAGGATAATGATAGCTCATGACGAAATTCAACTCCTTACTTGTATATCAAGGCGTCCTCATCTTCAGACTCGTTCAACATCGAAAATGTGGACTGATCACGGAAATAGGACTCTACAACAACCAATAAGAACAAAGGTAAATATCACAATGAGCCCATGAGACCTCAAAACAAAAGCACAGAATCGCGGGAGAACGAGAGCGACCAAGTCGTGATTGGTTTAACTTTTGCATCTGATTGGTTGATAGAATGGCGCGAATTTTTTAGACCAAACATGGCTTGAACGACATTTTGAGTTTATTTTCGGTCCATAGAAAAATGCATTTCAAAAAAGAACACCGTAAAATTAACAAACAAAAACAAAGAATATGAAATGAAAATGTCTCTATATTAAAGGGGTTAACACGGCGTAATGGCATTTCACGTTAATTTTCTTTCGCCGGCACAAATAAACGAGAACGAGGAAATTACATCACGACACGGGAGTACAGGACAGGGAGGATCTTGACATTCTTGTGGTGTGGAGGGGGGGGGGGAGTTCGAACTCTGATTAAGAAACCCCCCCCCCAAAACCATCAAAAATTAGCCAGTTGGGTCACAATATACAATTCTGCCGTTGCAAGGTCTGCAGGTCTAAAGGGGAAAGAGGTTCTGAAACTCTCCAGATGTGAAGAGAAAGGAGAAAACTAGACAATAGCCAGCCAGACAAATTTGATAAGGAGACACGTTGTCTTACCATACAGAGCATTCTTGGATGGTGAATACACGAATGCCATGGTGTACAAGTAGAAGTTGAGCAATCCAAAAAACGTCAGGAATTCGGCAGGTATTCAGTGTTAAAGAATACACTTTGAATCCTTACAAAGCAACAAATTTGACAGAGATGTCTAACAATGGTGGCGAAGAATTACTGGGAAACTGTGGTTTGGGCAAGTTTTGATCTCAGCTACTGTATTCAAAGTCATTTGATTACCAATACGCATAGACCCATAACAGTGGTTTTAAACCATTCTCACCGCCTATATGCCCGACAACTACCTGATTTGCTACAGAAAAATAATCTACTGATCAATCCTTGGACTGAAAGGGTTAAAGCTAACTCTTGATAAAAGTTTGTTAGGCAGAAAAAGAAATCATTTTTGTTATTAGTGATTGCTTGTTAGAACAAAAGGATATAATTATCATAGTGTGTTTCCAGTTCTGCAACAAAGTTGTCCTGCAACACTCCAGTCCCAAACCGAAGGCCTGTGATTACCAGACTGAAATACAATTGAAGAGTTAATTAAAAAAAAAGAAAAAAAACCAGATGATGATGGCATGTGGCTGTGGAGCTATCAATCAATGCCAAACCCTGAAGGGTTGAAATTGTGAACAGAAAGTTGCCATAAAAATTATTTGATGAAAATTGTATTTCTTCAAATAAGCACTCATGCCCAAATAAGTGCCCCACTACTCCTTAAAATTTCTTCAATAGCAGGGATACAAGGAAAACCTGTTTCTATTGCCATTTCATTTACAATTTTTTGAACTTAAACAGCAAGGGAATCAATACAGGAGAATAATAAGCACCCCCTCAATTAAGTGTCGTCTGCCCTCCTTGTATCTGAAATTTTGAAAAAGCGCATAAGTGCTTATTGGAGGAAATAAGTTAATGATAATCCCACCAACTCATAAACTGTTCAAAGACATCAAATTGCACCTTATTTCATTGGTTTTAGGTCTTTGAAAAGTTTACTGGTCCCTATATACATGTATTGCAAACAGCACCCAGAATCAATTGATAACCATTACATGTAAAGTATGGTTAGTCACTGTTAAACTTATAACAAAGATTATACTGCATACCTTATTGTCAAGACAATCAGCATAAGACCTGTGAGGAACTTAAGGCGAACATCTGTGAACACAAAGTGGGAGAACTTTAACAGATAAGTTAATTTAGGCTAATTGCTTGTAAGTTGACAGGTGGAGGGCTGACTTTTACTGCCACATACAGCTGTACTGATATCCAACTCTAGTTGAATGTTTTTTTGATAAATGACTGCCATATTGAAAAAAACAAATCTTGATCAGCATTTGGAGTTAAGAATTACCTTTGATTACAACATTACTTTCAATTCCAATTACCTCAACAAGGGAAAAAAACAAGAATTAAAAACATCAGGCAAATAAAAATTGCCATTTTTCATCTTAGACACTGCATGACTTAACTCACATTTGACAGCATGTGTTGTAAAACTGTTAAGATTCTGAAAAGGAAATTTAATAGATGACTACTTCTCTTTTTTGTCTCACATCAATATCCAACTTACCAAAGTAAGGCATGGCTCTGAGCTCACTGTATGCCCTGAATAACAGGTAGATCAAATACACCAGGTAAATGGCACCAATAGTGAAGAACATCACCTTTAGACCCTGTGAAAAATGGTCACAACATTCAGAGATGAGCATACATCTAAACAATCATTACAAACCAAGGATGCAAGACAAGAAATCTGTTAATGGAGTCTTTAATTTCACTATGGATATACCCAGAATTTTTTCGAGGGAATTTATTATTGCAGATTTAGGAAATTCTACAAAATCCACAAAAATTAAATCCAGCAAAATTTCCATCTTCTCCCTATAACATCCACACATTATCCAGCCAACACGCAATGAGAATACTCAAACTTATTGGGTAGAAGTTAGTAGTCTTGATCTAACACCACATTCTTGTTTTTGTGACTAAAAGGAAATGTGCAGCAGCCAGAAGGCAGAACTAACAATCAGATCTTGGGAGTTAAAGGGTTAACATAGATAGCTAATGACAAACTTTCACTTATCATGACAAAACTCCTGTATTATATTTTCAACATCCTGTGCTTTCTTACCATAAAATGGCCAATATCTATCTTGTATTGGTACGTGGGATCTTGTAACTCATTATACCTGTCAAGAAAGAAGTATCTTTCATCAGATCACCTTAATATTTCCACCCTCCTCCTCCTTAGAGAGGTCAACCATGACTGTAGTTCAAACTGATCCTGGAAATAAACGAATGCAGTACCCCTTGTTGCACTGTATACTTTACACTTTCTCAAAGGCTTAAGCAGCATATAAGATTATTCAGGTGCAGCATTATTACAACCCCATTTGCCAATAAGATACTCTTTCAGATGGTTGCTAACATAATTACTGAACAACCAAATCAACAAAGCTTCAAGAAGAAAATGGAATGTTTTTTTTTCATTAAGAAACCAAAGATTTGTGCAGAATAAAGCTTTAAATGGCTTTTAGTCCAACATCAACTTCCCCCCACATTTCAGAAAGGAAAAAACACTTGAAAGAACTTTTTGGTTATCTATCACAAGTCAGTGTAAACTTCTTCCTATGTACCCTTCAAATGAAAACTTACTGTTGCCAAGATGACAGGGTGAATGATGCAATCCATAGAAGGCCAACTATGAGAACTTTTGGGAGATAGAAACTTAATTTTCTTTCACTCTGTTTTAAGTCAAAAAAAAAAAAAAGATTGCAATGAGTTGTTTCACATAATTCACTACCTTAAGAGTACTACTCAACCACAAATGCAACTACCCTAATTCCATGACAAGACTGGATATTGCTCTTCATTACAAGAGCAAGCAATTTTTCATATACACCAACCAATTGGGAAAAGCCTCAAACATTCTGTCTTTTCAATCCATTGAAGTCCAGAAAGGCAAATAATGTCTTCAAAAACTGGGTCTTAACAATGTACTGAAATCAGCTGTCTATTACATCTAACACTCAGGCATTCTTTATGAGAGAAAGGGAACCATGAAAGAGGAGGACTTTTCTCAAAAAGGAATATCTGATTATAACTAATTGAAAGTAATACCACTGCTACATCTGATCTTTCAGAACTCATTTAAAAAATTTCTGCAAAAGAAAAATCATCTCTTACATACTGATAACGAGAAGAAGAAAATTTTAAAAACCTGTCTGATGCCATGGAAGGCACAAAGCCAGAAGAGCAACAGGCCACAGAGAAATGATGCCTGGAACACTGAATCAAACATTCCAGGAACCCAACTGTTCACCAGGAAGTTGAGAGGAAATAATGGGTCTATTGAAAAAAAAACCATAATGAAAACAATAAGACTAGTATAATTTAAGAGCTGAAAAGAGTTTTCAGTGGATTGTCTAAGTAGTTACATCACTCCTTGTTTAAGGTTAGGAATAGTTTACAAGGCGGTGAACATAACTCCTTCTGTTTACAACAAAACAAAATGAGTGCCTGTGCTTGGTTTGGAAACATTTCTGACAGAGACTGAAATGTTAAAAAGGGAAAAGAGAAATAAATGTGTGCTGTAAAACTTAAATGAAGCACTACCAGTCTCTTACTTTGTGCTCAAATTTCATTTCCATAGATCACCTTAATTTATTCCTAACAGCTCCTCAAAAGTTGTGCAACCTCATTGCAGAACTCTGTTATCAGCCAAAATATAGATCATCCCCATGGAGGAAAAGTTTTCTGCACCAGCTGAGCTGAGATGAAAACACTCCCTCAGAATTTTCAACCCAAGATTTTGACATCTATCAATTCTCCTTACTGTCTGTCATACATTTCTCGTGTGTTTGTATCTTAAAATAAGTAGTTGTTGAATTAATCAGCAGCTTAAGTTGATATTTTACTTTCTCTTTGTGATCTTTTTATTTGACAGAGTCTTGATGCTTTCTAGCACAATAACTTATTGATCACTCCTGGCAATGAAAAGGTTGAAGGAAATCACTTACCATTGTACAACAACAGTAGTGGAAGAAGAAGTGACATCCATCTGAACAAAGAGAAATTTATTAGATTTAGAGACACTTAATTGTATGTAAGACCGTCACAGATTTTTTTGCACAAACAATATTTTTTTTCAAGTATGATTCTAGACCCGATTATCAGCAAAAAAGCTTTCAAAAAAAGTTTACAATAATCTCATTATCAACTCAACAACATGTGGATATCTATTCATCCAGTTCAAGCATGGAGAAACACATGCTTGAAACTTGTTGCCTAAAGATGAACATCAGGAGTTGAAGCCAATAGGAAACATTTCCACCATATTCAAAACTACACAGGTGCTCTTTGAACAGTGTTTTTATAAATAATTTTAGGTAACAAAAGCTTGTAAGTTACCAATAAACTGAAATAAACTTGGCCTATTGATTCTTTACCTTGATATTAAATGCAATTCTACATTTACATGTTACTGGCAGCAAAAAAATTCTATTCATGAATTTAAAAAAATTGTCTCAAGTTTGACTAATAATGCAATTGATGTGATGCATAAATAATAATATCAAAGTTAAAAGCCAGAATTACTGCATTGAGAGACTATGCAAGTTCCTTACTTTTGTTCTATAGACCACTCTCGTAATGGAAATCTTCTCAATGAGTGAGCAAACATACACTGAAACCAAAAAAAATCACAATTTGATGACCTTCCAGAGACCTGGGGGCTACATTAAACATTTCCTTAAATATAATCCTCTATGGTGAATTATGGATATTTATAAAGGACTGAAATTTTAGTTTGATAATCCTAACTGTCGGTTGTTTGGCTGGATCCCTTAGCAGCAAACATAGAACCCACGCAAAGTTATCATACTCCCAAAATTAAAAGCTCTTAAGCACAGATTGTGGCTCCATCCTATTGTGATGTTGGGGTTTGATCCTAGCTAAAACCTTAAAACTTTTTCAAACTTTTTTTTCTGCCCTGTTTTTAATTACAGTTCATCTTCTAGGAACAGTTCTCTATTTGAAAACAAGTTAACATCACTTTCAACCAGGTACTTACTGTAACCATGAATGTAAGGACAAGGAATACAAATCTGAACCAGATTTCAACTTGACTGAAATCAGCACTGTAATGTTTCAACTGCAATCAAAGTGAACAGTTAGTCATTAGTTTGTTGCACCTCTGAAAACATTTTACAGGTGAAGAATTGATGAAGCTATGCATTCATTTGTAAATATCTCAATTTACAATCTGCATCAACCCTTTCCATTTCTAATGATCCTCATTCCATTTTTGTTCATAATTTCCATTTTGATGTTTTTCTATCGAACCAAACTAAAATTCTGTGGCTTCTTTCAAATTAAAGGTAATTTTACATGCTAGCTTATTGAACCCCAATGTAAGATGTAATTCCATTTTTGTTCATAATTTCCATTTTGATGTTTTTCTATTGAACCAAACTAAAATTCTGTGGCATCTTTCAAATTAAAGGTAATTTTACATGCTAGCTTATTGAACCCCAATGTAAGATGTAAATGTATCATTTATTCACAGCTATTTAACTCCAAATTATGAAAAAACTAACTTGAATATAAAACTATTGTGTCACATGTTTGAGAAAATAGTCTGGTGAATCAAATAATTTTTCTGCCAATGCAAATTACATGTCTAATATAAGCTTCAAATTACATTATTTCCTCTTCCCTTTAACACATTCACATTGATATCTTATAAAAAAACACTGATGAACAACTCACAATTTCATATCTCAAGTACAAAGGCTTACCACAAAATCAATGTCTCTAATATCTATTCCTTTAGGAAATTGGAGGCCATGAAAGTTGACAGTTGCCACATATGATGGATAATCAAGATATCCAAGATGTAAAATAACCAAAGGATTGCATTCCTGGAACCAAAAAGATAAGCAGACAATCACTTAAAACATGTAAACCTGGAATTTACTTGTATTTCACCCGAGGACAGTTTGCTATTTAGTACCTATCAAATACTTCTTAATATAAATTTTTTCTGCAATGGACTTCAGAGGATGAAAATTTTGGATATTGGAATTTTTAGTGTGTGTGTATGTGTGCTATGCAAGAGTAACTTTCCCATTTGACATTATAGTAATTTTTGTTGAGAACTAATTCTTGTAACTTTTTATTCAAACACTTTTTTCGTAAACTAAGGTGGCCAAATCACACAATAATACATTGTAGTACTTATATTTAGAAATCAGTTATGTTCGGTTGACTGTTTTGTTTCAATAATGTTGCAAAATTGACCAAAAATAGTTAACTACCATCAATTGCAGATGTAGCTTATAGTTGCTGATGACTGGAATAGAAAATAGTATAGGTAGTAGAAGGTAAACAAAACTTAACAATTGTCAAAACCTCTTTGACTCAATCTTGATGTAATTGCTTTATTGAGACTCAGCACTGCATATTATTTGTGTGTGATCAAAAGAAATTTGTGTAATATCCTGTTCTTTATTTAAAATTTCAGGGGGAAAACCCCATCTTCAAATGTATTGACTGTAGTGTGAACAGGGCCATAGACTATGAAGATCAACTTAATAATAATAACAACAAGAAAATAAGCAAAGAACCTCAAACCTTTTGACATTGCAACTGGCGAGTCCTGTTGAAAGGAGTTTCAGCTATTAAATGATAACTACTGTCCTTGGCTCTTCCATAAATCTTAACACTCAGGTGAAAACTGTCTGAGAATGATGCCCCTACAGAAAAATGACAAAAACATGCAAGAAATACATGTATTAGTAAAAAAAAGGCAATTTCTAGGATCCCCCAATGCTCTTTTGTAAGATGAGAATAAGAGCAGCTCTTAATCTTTTGATGTGAAAATCATTTTTTAGTCTCACATGTATTGCACTCAGAAAATAGATTTCACTCAGCAATACCCAAAAAGCAATATTCAGCTTTAATGCAGTTTGTTTAGTAAATTGATAAGCTAGATTTTCTTACAACTTCCACAATAATCACGGTTGTCAACTGAAGCTAGTAGGCAGTATACAGGAAGTACAGTGCTTAAACTATTAGTGGTGTAGACAGCTCAGGTACCTTAAGAGACAGGAAATAACTACAGGTGTACTTTTGAACTGATTTTGAAATCAATGTATATTAAAATATGCTCTAGCAGAATACTGCCAGGGTATATTTAGCATATAAATAAATCTCAGAATGTTTAAAATTTAACTTTTTTTGCATGTTGCTTTGCTTCCTGTGCAAGCAAAATTCAATTCAGCCATATACTCAGCTAACATCATACACCTATCACATTTTATAATGACACACCTGATAATGCTTTTATACTCAATTTCAAAACAATATTACAGTATACCTGCTTTTGTTCCATTCAGTTTGATCTGGCAAAGTAACCAAAGTTGTTGATTGAAAGTTGATAAGATACCTGTGTCTATCTGAAATGGCCCAGTCTGTAGATGAAAGAAGAACTAAAAACTTTAAACTTACACTTTAACAACAGCAGGGAAGCAAACCCCATGTTTTGATTTTGCAGTAATTCAACTTGTTAACCATCTTTAATGTCATGGAAAAATTTGCATAGTGGATGAGTAGTTGTACATTGATCTCTTTAAATACTTAAATTTAAAACATGTTATTTTGAAAACAACTTGCTGATTGCTTGTATGTTTCCTTGCCCCTTCAAGTGCTACACAACTTACAAATATTTGCATTATTATATGCTAAACCATCAATTAAGGTGTACTCATTACATATGAACTGCATGTAAATCTACTCACCGACAACTTTTCGCTTGGTACGTGAAGGTTTGATGCACTTTGGGTATGTTCAACAATAATGCGAGGTCCTGTAAAAAGAAGCAAATGAAAACAGTTGACTTAAGTAAGAAATAAAACAGTTTCAACCTTAAACTCTTACATCAATAATAACACTAAAATACTTCTAGAAATATCTTAAACATGATTGATTCAAACACAGAGTTGCATTAATCAATGAATTAATTACCCCGCAGTCAATAAAAAAAGGACAACAGCACCCTTAGAAATGTATAGAGAATATTAAAGAGAATATGTATGCTGATGTTCAAGAGGAGCGAGTTAAGATATCTGGAATCATGAGTCAAGACAGGTTGTGATAATCAGTGGAGAGTAAAAAATTGAGTTGACAAAACAGCAACAAACTGAGTAAAGCCAGTCAAAGTCTGCAAAACTCATACCTTGCTCAGTAAGCCATAAAAATTTAACAATAAACTTTTACTTTGATTTATATGCTCTAATATATCATAATTTGAGTTGAGTACAGAATAAAACACTATTCAAGTATTTGTGTCATTGTGTTTCAACAGACACAGATCTATACTGATTCTGCCTAGTTTTACAATCACAGTTGAGTCACAAGTATTTCTTTACACCCCATATAAATGAATTCACCAAACAATTAGAATATCTGCTTATTTCATGCAGTGTGACTTGCAACAAAAATTACGCTTGAAATATTGAATATGTCATAAGGCTATATGGATATTAAAGCAGTGTTTTCAAATTTTCAAATTGTTTTCAAGACAACTATTTTAAAAGCTTGGTGCCTCTAAATTCAGTTTGTCATGTATATCAAATTTTTATGTCATCAACCTTCAAGGTAACTGCTGTGACTTTCTAATTATTTCAAATCAATACAGTTGGTTTAAATCAGCTAAGATAATATGGTTTTTAAAGAGAGAGCATACATGAATATGTTACACCCACTATCAATGGAAACAGAATTCTTCTGATATCAAATTTCAATTTGGTTAACTTCCTAAACGAACAATTTAAGAGAAGCATGATGCTGAAATATAATCAAGGTTAGTTAGACTAATGTTGTAACCAATCAATTGTGAATAAATATTGCAAAACGTAGAACCACATACATTGATCAGAGCTAAGCTTATGTAAATTCTCTATTCTTAGAGGATTAATTTTAGTGCTGAATTTTCAAGTACTTTTATTAACTGAGCAGTATTCATTCGTTTTGGGATCAGAAGCGAAAGACGCTCTTTGCCCAAAATGTTAACAAATTGATTGTTCATATTTGTAAGCGCCCCTGAACACCGAGGCAACCGATAACTCGCGAGAAAACACGTCTGAACTTAAAATTTGTCATTAATGAAAGTCAGGACTTTGATCATTGATCTGTAATTATTTATTTTCACTGCCAGAGGATTTTACTGGTTCAATTCTGAAAAAGACCATTCTTATAAGACTGGAGATAACTCCAGCCATTTTAATGTGTCGTTTTAAGACATATTCAGTAAAAATACAGATTATAAGTACAATGGGAATTTCATAGGCTGTTTAGCCGCTATAACCAAATCGTTGAGCCATTGCCTGACTAGATTACTGCGGCTGCAAAATTTGCCGCTTTTTCCAACGCTCGAATACCCCCCAGATACATGAAGATGACTTTTTCTCTGCTTTGTACATTAAATTAGCTTCACTAATGGCGACACACCTGCAATTCCAATGATAACTGTGAGGAAAAAAGCCACGAAAAACGAGACGAAGACCAAAACAAACTGCCGCTTAGTAAGAGTGTAGAGCCGCATTTGGACTGTTCTGTGGAGGAAGAAAAACAACACTTCAGTCAGTAACAGCTGTGAAATTAAAAGAACGACAAAAAAAGCATCTATCTTACGAGTCCATTTCCTTGGTAGCCATATTTGAATTTCAGACACAATTTACTCCGCAAACACAACCATATTAACATCGGACGCCAAAGGAACAACTCATTTCGCTTTGTTCAACAAAGTTGAAAGGAACTGGGAACAAGGAAATTTGCATACTTTCCTCAACACCTCTTCAGACGGAAATATCTTAACATTTTTTTGGATTGCATGTCTGCGAATCAATATTCATCAAATGGATATAGCCTGAACAGTTCTAAGCCAAACTAATGACCTAATTCAAGAAAGTCATCTTCAAATAAAGAAAAAGATTCTGCTACCTTTCGTCGAGGAAATAAGTTTTAACGATTTTAACAAAATTGACAGGAAGTTAAGCTTCCTGAAATGTTATATTTAAGAGTTATGACCTAAACTTAAATGCGATGAGCTCCTTAAGTTTTCACTCCTGGTCCTTCGCCGTGCGTGCAAACATGAAATTGACAATCCAGTATCAGTTGAGACTATCTACGAGATTATGAACTGTTCAAAAAAATCTAGGACTAACTCAAGAGACGTTATTAAAATGCAGATTTCAACCACTTCTATACTTCCACTAGTACGTGATCAAAACTAAGAAAGAACCACAAATTATTTAATCCGACTGGGAATATTTTTTAAGAAGAGATCTCTGTAACTTTCACAGTTTTGCCTTACAACCCTTTCAGCATTTGGTTTAACCTTTACACCAGGCTGTGGCCCTTGCATCAGTTTGATCAGTTTGTATGTTCTCCATACTGTTCTCGAGACATTTCCTCTAGTATCGTCAAGGATAATTTTTTCAAAAAAATTAAGAGCGTCTTAAGTGATTGGTTATTTCCCGTATTCTCCGAACCTTCATTTTTGATTCAGTGGTGATAATGTATAGAGAAATTCATAGTGGGTTCTTGCCACTCTTTGGAATGAAAAGTTAACGGAGTGAATCGATCAGTCCCGGCTTCTATTAAAAGAGGTGAGTAGAGAATTGACCCTCCGAAGATATTTTATGATAGTTCTTTGCTGAGAACTTGCCTACAAGAATTGTCGAGTTTCCACCACAGTCTACTGATACCTATATATACCTGGGTGAGTATAGGACCACCGTGAATATAGAGTCTGTCTTGTCACGACAATACAACACCCAGCCAGGGCGCAGATCGTTGTCCAATCCCTTTCAATTAAAATCTTTTCTTTTAAAGGGTGAAAAAAATTTATTTAGAATTGCAAAACGTGATTCTAACATCACCGATAGACTCTTTTAAATGCTTTATTTCCAACAGTTTATCAGCCGCCGGTGATCGATCAGGTTAGTCACTTTATTGACGATATGGATGGGAATAACGAAAAACGAAAAAGACAGAACAAATTAATTGGACAAGATGACTGAAGTTTGTGTTCCCGAAGACATCTTATCTCAGCCCAGACTTTCCGGTATAAAGTTCAGAGTGCATGCCACAACGAACATAACTGATCGGGTAGAGAGGGAAGATGAAGATGACCCCCTCGTTACTGATTCGAGTGGGTCCTCAAGGTCAGTGTTAAATCGTTATTCTTATGAGCTTCAGGATAATATTTTACACAAAGAGTACATAATTGTTCTTTATCTGCAATCTCTGTTTCAATCTCTTATTTCTACAACAATGCCCGGGCGAAAATTATCCTTTAAGTCACCTCATGAACTAAACAGTTCAGAGCCTTCGTGGTGGTGGTGGACTGTGTCCTTCAACTTCTCTTTGATTTCCAGGTAACGGATCTGCGCCAGCCTTTCTATCTCAGGCTTGAAACTAAAGATGAGGGGGAGTCTGCTGTAATGGTTGGAAGCAACTAGTCGTGGGCATTGGTCGTCTGATGGAGAGATTTAAATATGGCTCAAATTTATGAGTACGAGGATGGCTTAAAGCTGATTTTTTCTGGATTTTTCCCAGGAAACTCTTAATTTATCAAGGTGGGTGTAAACGAATTTCATCAAGTTTAACCAGTTTGATATTTTTTTGGGCCTTATTTAATTCGGACACATATAGATACACCGTCACTCAAAAAGCAGTGGGGAGAAAGGAAGGGTTTACTTTAGGGATTTATCGCCCCTATCGGGTTAATGACTGCAAGATTACTCCATCACAGACTACAGTTAACCTACGGTAAACAGATTAAGCCGAGCGTTCTCATACGCAAATAAACCCGATGTAGAGGTTGGATGATGGTCTTCTGTTTCTGAGCGAAGTTTTTTGCCCGTCCATTATTCATTTGTGAATTTCTGTTTTGTTACTGATATTGAAAAATTCGAAACCTTTCAGATTCATCTTTTCATCTGACTAAATAATGTTCCGATACTGGAAAGAGTTCTTGCTTTAGCTCTGTTGAAGATGTCTCGATAAAAGGCCCGCACTCTGATGTAAACATAAATATAGTAATGGCAAAGTGAGGTCAAGGACAACATCTCAGAAACTGAGACGGGCTAATAGCACATGCACTATTCATTGAGCCAGGGCAGCGAAACACTTAAGAAGCCGAATACCCCATGTGCTTTTGATGTTTTTAGTTTGAGCTCGTTTCCTGACAAACAAAATTGACCAGATATTGGAAAAATCTCTTTTAAGAGATTAAAATCTCCTAATGACTCGTTGAATAATGCTTATCCAATTCTTATTAGAGGCTTTTGAAAGATCATGGTGACAGAGATTTAATTGAACTTGTATACAATAAATAAATGTATTGTCAGAGTAACACACGCGATGGCATAATTTTCATGGTCTGTTGGTTACAGCCAACAATAATTCTCCTCCCTAAAGCTCTGTTGGACGTATGAAATTTGAAAATATCAGAACGTTCCAGAATACATGTTCAGTCTTGTTCCAAGTTAGACTCAATGTTCAGACGGAACATCGTAAATCCCAAGGAGAAACTGCTGGAGGCAATTGATTGATTGACAGCGGAAGGAGGCTTACTAAAATTCGGCCGATAATTCGTTTTTCAAGTTGATTAAACTAATTTTAATTTGCTTTTTCCTTCTGCTCAATCGGAGAGCCGGTCGAAGATGGTAAATAGAGGTCAACATTCGTGATAAATTCATATCAGCACGAGCAATGAACAGGTATTTCCCTGTCACAACTGACCTCTCGCGGGGAAGTGAAATTTGCACCAATCAAACGTCGATATTATGGCGTCCTGTGTATGCACATAAATATTGCATGTGGTTTGTTTCTCGTTAATATTTAAGATTTTCTTTATATTTAAACAAGGAGAATCTTTTGTAATCGATAATTTCGAAGGCAGTCATATCGAGAAGAGAACAGGAAATGGTCAGAACTCGTGCTTATAAATGTCAATAGCGTCGGCGAGAACATCTGGCGCACAGCGCTGTTTATCGACATTGAAAGTTTAATCTGACTTTGCATCGCCTCCAGTTTGTGCACATTGGTGTGTGTTTTCGATTGGACCATTTATTTTTAACCAAGTTTACAAAAATACATCGGCAGATCCACCTTGAGGAAAATGAAATCGAAATAGTTGGTTGTCAAGGGTTTTAGTGACAGTTGCTAAGCTCGTGCCGATGACGTACTAATCTTCTCGAAGAAATTGTATATAGCAAAAAACACAATCGATTCAGTCGAAAACAATCGATTAATGATCGTTTTACCACATCCACGTTTTAAGATCGAATATGGAATACAATCAAGCCTCTAAAATGGAAATGGCTGATAAGATATAAGGAAGGAAATCTAACAGTCATTGTATTGATTCTGTCAATAATCCGTTACTATGGAAATTGTTACATTTGGTAAGACGCATGCGCCGTAGTCGTGCAGTGATTGGCGGTTTTTAATCACGTGCCGTAATTCACGTTGTTATTCCACCTGGCCCTTTGTCATTCCTCTCAGCCAGATTATCACGCTGAATTTTCACCCAATTTCCACAATTTATTTCCAAACTTAGAAGTTGAACTAGGCTCGTCCAAAAGTGGCCAGATAGGTCAAGTAGCTCCCAGAATTTGATAATGTCGGGTTCATATCCACCTCCAATTCTTCCTAAGCCTCCAGTCGGCCTTCCTTTCATAGCACCTAAACCAAATATGCCAGGTCAGGGTGTGAATGCAAGTCAGTCAGGCTCTAACAGTCTCGAAGAAAAACGGCAGAATGGAGGTAGTCCGAGCCAAAGAACCGATGCTGAAATGTTCGATTTAGAAAGTGAAATTGCTAGAAGGACAAGTCAGCGAAAGCGGCCTAAAGTATGTTCACAGTTTGTCTTCATTATCTAAATTTGTCATTCATGATATATTATGCAACATTCTTCAATTTATTGTCAACAATACGGTTTTGTGTTTCAGCTTTAGCCTTTTCTTACGGTTACAGATGGAGTCTTTCCAAGGAACGAAAGACACATTTGGAGTCTTAAGAATCGAATATCTCCGGTATAATCTACCGTGACCTCCGATCCGGGGACACTAAATTTATGCAATACTAAACGAACTGTCATTGAAGCAATGAAAGCTGACTGGTTCGTGGTTCAGAGTCACATGGGCTTTGTTTCAGAGAATATATTTGATAGTTCCTCGTAAGTGTTAGCTTCCATTTCCTGAATTCTGAAAAGGGGAAAAAGTTGGAGAAACTGTTGAATTCCTTCGTTCCGGCTCGGATGAGAGTAAATGAGAGATTTTCGACAAGATTTTGAAACCAGAAATGGGAAGCCCTACGTCACATTGTCAACAATGAAACTTTGTAATCACTAACACGCAACGGGTTGGAGTCGTTTGAAGATTTCCTCGGCAAATGTACAATTCCTTCGTCATGTTCAGCCAGTGTTCAAGCTTTCGTCACGTTAAGTTGATTAAAGGGCTATCGCTGCTTTTTTTTCCCGGAGCATCGAATAAATCACTCGTTTTTTTTTCGGCTTTGCGCGTTTGGATTGTTTACATATTTTATAGTGGAGTGGTCACTCGGGAACCTTTGTCCGCGGGAAGATTGGGGAATGACTGATGATTTTTCGCTCGTTCCTAGCCACGACCCAAACATCGTTTTTGCTTGGAAATTCCTGTCAAAATTTCAGATAAATCGTCTGCCTTTTATTACGCGAAACTGGTAGGGATTCGAACCATTTCTGTCCGAAATCGCCGCGCGTAATTTGTCGTTTTCTGACAATGGAGGTAAGCGAATTGTCCAATGTTACACAACATAACTCCTTCCGTACGCTCTCTGAACTCGATTTAAAGAAGATTCATGGTTTTATGTCTAAAATTGACTGTATTCCCCGATTGTGGCTAATTTTTTTTTGTTGGGTGAAATTAGAAAGATAAAAATGATCGAGAGAACGGAAACACTTTGTGTTCTTCTTCAGACAGCGAAGCAATCGGTGAATGTATTTATGAGCTAACACGCGTTCTCCATGTGTTCAGCTGTTAATTTTGATGAATTTTCGCGCTGATTATTTCTGTCTAGCGCTTAAATTTAAGCGTTATTTTTCATACTGGCATGTAGTCAACACAGTCATATTGAAAAGATACTCTACTGAGGAGAGGAGAGTAACCATAAAGTGTAAAGAAAAATTTGCTAGATACAAAATATATTTTCCTGATCATTTATTCAGCGCCTGGTAGCTTTTTCCATGCCTTTGTTTTGCAAACCATCTTGCATTTATGAAACAGCTACACAAAATTTGAATATAAATATCACATCCCTAAAGGTTTCCTTTTCTAAGATTTTTTGCTGCATGAATTTAGTTAAATTTATGTGCCAGTTTCCTTGTCTAAATTAAAAATAATTGTTTTATTTACATCACCTGAGAGTTGAAATATTGCAGTTGATGATGGGAATTGTGAATTTTTTTTTTTGTATGCATTTAAGCCATCAGTGAGGCCAGGCAAGATGCCTTATTACGTAATTTTGTGTTCTATTGCCTGAGTGGACACTCTTGACTGTGATGCTAAGAAATCTTTTTGTTCTTGCTGGCCAAAGCCAAGGGGTTCAACGAACTCTGTTTGACACCAATCATGCTTGCTTCAACTTTACTCGAATTATACCAAACCTGGGGACCCACCACTTTTTTAGATCCAGTTCTACTTCTGTGGTTGCTCTACATATTTGTGTTTATTGGAGTTTGTCCCTTTTTTGCTTGAATCGTTCAGTGATAAAGAATTAAATGTTATAGATTTTAGATCAAGTAATTTTATTGAGCATTGATAGTGATTATTGTGATCACAGTTCTCAGTAGTTAGAAAGCAACTCTTGTTTCATAATGCTACTTAGCTCCAGTGTGAAGGTCATGTCTGCTTTGAAGGTGACTTACAACAATTAATCATAATTGAACTGAGTGGAGTGCAGTTTGGTGGGACAAGTATGATTTCAGACCAAAAAGGCTTTTGATTCAGTTTAATTACCACTTTGTTACATCCATTTTGAAATCTTAAAATTCAGTACAATTATTTTATTGATCCAGTACTGAGCCTACAAAAGGTTTCAGTCATTCTCTTAAAAAACTGATTTGTGTCTTTAAACAAGCCTTGAATTCTGATTGATTGTTGTGTTTTAGTCATTAAAAAGCTTTCTCTTTGGTTAGGAAAAATATGCGGTTTAAAGCAAAAAAATAAATTGATTTGAGATTAAATCAAACTTTTGAGAGCCAATCAGATTGCAAGGATCACCAGTGATTTCAAAATGGAATCTTTCTGAATTTCTATCTATTTATTGAGTCAGTGCTGCATTGACATTGACATTGACTTTTTTTTACTTAAGTTGGCATGTCTCATGAAAATTTGTGTATGTTTTGAGTTTGTATGAATTGCATACCTTTTCCATGTGAGAGAAGATCGCGAAGTCTTTTTGGTTTTTGAGTTGCCAAGTTGATATCAAATGTTTGAACTATGTAGGAAATAAAGTCCTTCTTTTGTGCTACTGTTGTTGGTGATTGTGTTAGAGAAATATTGATTTAATTGAGCAATGGATTTTGTTTACTTCAGGTGGAATACACAGAAGTAGATGTAAAATTAGCCAACTTGACGGACGAGGAAATGTCAGATGATGAAATCATCAGAACCACCACAAGGGCATCACCAGTCCCTCCAGCTATGGAGGCTGAAGAACCACGTGAAGTAGAAGAGGAAGATGATGAGGAAGATGTTCCTGAAGGCTAGTTCTCTTTTTTTTATAGCAGCTAGAGCTATTGTATTAGTCCTCCAAACTTAAGAAATAGTCAAATTAGTATCATTATTTTCAAGTATACTGTGCTAGGTTTATGCTTAAATCTTGTTGGAGTTCAGTGAAGGAGAAGGAAAGCTCAAATTGTGTGATTTATGCTGCAGTTACCAAGCATGTTGATGCAGTTTTAGAGAGATCATTCCATTTATCACATGTCTGAGTCATGTTTTATGGCCATGTTGAATTTGACATGATCCATATACGTCATAGAGCTAGTTAACATGATAAATTGTGCACTCAGTGTTTTGTTAAGGGAGTTGAAACATTATAGTGCAATCCTTATTATTTCTCTATTTTTGCTTTTGCCTCACATCTGTCTTGTTTTCTTATATTCCTCGAAACTGTTCATTCAAATGCTTGAAAGATTCATAGTATTCCATGACATTTTTCCTCGTAGGAACCCTCAGCCACTAACCATATGTTTGCAATTTTGTGGCTCTGTCAAATCCACTTTCTCGCTTTTGTCATTAATTGTTATTATTCAAAGCCCTTTCAACTGAAGAGCTCCCATTGAGGCAACATAGTGGTACAACTAACATCAATAATTATTAAGAATTGCTTTTAACTGAAATTCATTTTAAATTTCAGCATAATTGTTGTAGTTTCAAGTGAATTCAGGTCAAAATAATTTTAAGACTGTAGAAGTTTTAATTCCTTTGTTCTCAGGAAAATAATTGAAATTTTTAAATATAGATAAAACCAATGGACATTCCCTGTATGGAATTATTTTAACTGGGAGTCCCTTTCAACTAACAACATTTACACTTACAGGACTTGAGGGTGCAGCGTTCCAAAGTAGATTGCCTTTTGATAAGATGACATCACAAGAGGCATCATGTTTCCCAGATGTCTCTCAAGGCCCTCCCCCTGTCCAGAAACAGTTTTTATACATCAGGAATAGAATGGTATTTGAAATCAATTAAAATTTTTATATGATGGATTTTACTTCTTTTGAAAATTATTGTAATTTACCTACGGATTTTGTGGTTCAAAATTGTCTTGATGAGATTTTGCAGATCAGTTTGATTTTTCTTTGTCTGGTGTTGATTAATTATCATGATGAAAAAATTAGGAAATAAAAAATAAACTGGTGTGAAACATGTTAATCAAGGAAAATTTTAAAATATGACACCTATAGATATTACCCCTCAGTCACTATCAGACAGAGTGCATAGTAATTCTTCTGCTTAAAGTTTGATGAAGTTGTTGTTGTTTTTTACCAATGTAAGCTACAATTATGGGTTGAAAATCCACGACAACAGATGACATTGGAGCATGCAATGTCACAAATGGACCCTCAAAATAGTAAGTTCTTCCCCTTGTACATTCTCTTAATGTCTTTTTTTTACATTTTTATGATAGCTTTTCAATCTGTCTGAAAGTTTAAAGCAAATAAGAAATTATTATAGTAAACGGCCAAGTTGTCAAAGGTGGCATGTTGCTTTTTCAGATTACACACAAGATCACGAACTATTCAGTTAAAATATCTTTGTGGCATTCCACAAAGATCACACAAACCTGAAAGCAACTCCTGAATTTGGAATCATTGTGCAGATTTAAACCTGTTACTGGTAACTCAGAGATAGCTTGTGTACATATTTCCTCAATGACATTTCACAAGGTTTACAATTTTTCATTGCCACTTGTGTAAAATGAAATGCACGTAGAACCTAAATAGGTTTATGTCTGGCTATGAAAATTGATAATTTTTGTTTGCTTTCCCTGTAGGTGATCCCAAACTTGCAGCAAGAGTACATGCCTTCCTTTCACGATATGGCTTGATAAACTTTGGAATATACAAGGTTCTTAAGATGCCAGCAGCATGTAAGTAGAACTTATAATAAAGAGTAAAATGTCAGTATATATTGATCCTACATGTATATGCTACACAGTGTGTATAATCCTTGAATGACATGTGAGGTTAGTGATCTTGATTAAGCATTCATCTTGGACTTCTTCATTATCCATAATCAAAGTTGTTGTATTTGAGAAATATGTAGACCATACCATTTATGTGACACACAAATAATTTTTTGTAGACCAGATCAGAAGAACAATACTTTCTGCACAGATATGTTTCTGTGGAGATTTCATCGTGCTTTGCATCTATAAGCTAAGAGCTTTAATTCAAAATAACCATGAATAGACACTTTCTAACAAGCTGGGTGCATTCAGGTATATCCAAACAGTTGGGAGTCAATCTTTTTTATATTATATATATAAAAGTGTGGGCCATGATAAATTCAGGGTGCCAGCTATAACCTTATGTCCAAGATCTGTGATTTTACCTGTGTTACATCAACATAAAAAAAATTCCTTGAAGAACCCTGAAAAACTAATAATTTTATCCAGGGTTTGGGTTTGAATCAGAAGCCAGTCATAGTGGTGTGGTTTTCAGGAATTATACTCTTCTTTATGGGAGGAAAAATTTGGCTGTTACTTTTAATTTTTATACCTATCGTATTTGAATACTTCTGACATGAGTTGAATATAGTTTATAAGTGTTAAGTGAATGTATGGTTCCCTTTTTAGTAAAAAAGTCACCCAAAGTGATAGTTGTTGGTTCAGGAATCTCTGGTCTTGCAGCTGCACGGCAGTTACAGTCTTTTGGAATTGATGTTACTATTGTGGAAGCGAGGGTAAGGCAGCATTACTCTCAAACACTCAGTTGGTTGAAATTTAAAATATCTCAAGAATTATTTTAATGGGTAATTTGTTGATAGTTGAATATTTGTTGTGGTATTATCAATAATTATTACTTAAAATCTGGTATTGCTTGCAGGAACGTGTGGGAGGAAGGGTAGCAACATTCCGTAAAGGACAGTACATTGCAGATCTTGGGGCCATGGTACTCACTGGGTTAGGTTGGTATTATTTACTTGTTAACGTTAAAATGTTTTAATTTGTCTTCATAAAATCTACACTTACATGCAACATCTTTTATCTGTGACCTGAGACCACAGACTACATGGCTATCTTAGCACAAAGTTTATTGTTCACAGTCATTGAGGTTTTGTACTTATTGTCTGGGAGGAAGAGCCAGACAGAAAAATACTATTGGCTCAAGGTCAAGAAAAATTGACCAAGCTCAGCAAGCCAGACACGTCCTGTCCAGCTTGACCTCACTCATTCAATAAACATTTTATTATAATTGTGACTGTGGCTCTTTCTTCCTTTCTCCTTTAAGCTCATGGCTTGCAATGCTTTAGGTTTTGAATGACCCTGCTGGTCATTAAAGGAAAAAATCTATTGATCTAAAAATTAATGAATATTCCTCTTGGCTAGCCAATCAGAAGAAAGGATTTACTTTATTTGGCTTGCCTGTTGATAAGGGTATGTCAAAAATGATAACCAACAAAGGAAAACTTGCTGAGGGAGTCATTCTTTTATTGCAGGGGGAAATCCTTTGACAGTTCTGGCAAATCAAATCAATATGGATCTTCATAAGATTAGGCAAAAGTGTCCATTGTATGAAACTCATGGAAAGTCGGTATGAACTGTGTCTTGTTTTGAAACTTATGAAATTAATGACTTTTCAGCACAAGCTAGTATTTCACTGGTGGTCAAAAATGATGTTGTTGTCATCAAGGTTAGCATCTTTAGTGTCAAATGTATTTAGGATTTTCATAACCAAAAATCAATTTCTGAGAATTGGACCTTGATCATTTACCACCTGTGTTCAATAAAAGAGCCAATTTAAAATACCGTTTTTGATGTGTTGGATGGTTAGCAATCATTTTAGGCTGAAAAAGAGTTTGGAAGAATTACAGTTTGAATGTAATTTGTCATCAACAATAGTTTTCCTCAGCCTGAAAATTGGTTTGACATTTTGTTTAAGAGGAATTGCTGATTGTAAATAATGTACAAAATTCACTTCCCTTTACAAAGTTTACTTCTTGCCTTCCAAAAAGATGAGGTTTTATTGTCTTGCTATTATGAAATATTGGCTCCAGTAATTACTGTTTATTAGGGTGATGAACTTTTACCTAGCAGTTTATTTCAAACTTAAACTTTTCCCTAAATATTTAAATTATAACAATTTATTATTATAATTATTATAGTTTGGTGTGGTTAGGTTTGGAAAGTTTAAACTTAAAACTTCTTAACTTGCTGTTTGAGTAACCTGACGTGTATGCACCTGTAAAGCTTTGTACAGTTTGTTCAGTTCAAGGTTATGGTTTTTCAGACATGTTTTCATCTTCTTCATTGTCCACTAAAAGTAATTGGGAAAAAGAGTAGACTGAATCAGTCTACATTGTAACACTGATGTTTTAAATGAACTGAAAAGCTGGTTTTTATTCTAAATTACCCTATTTGAATTTTACACCCTGACTTTTTTGCTTATTTTTTATTTGAGAAAAGTCAAAATCACCTGTTTAAGCAGACACAAAATTGTGTTAATCAAAACATTAGAAAGTTGTTAACAGTTCTGGCAAGTGCCAATGGTACATGTACAATGGATTATAAGTTACATGTATGAATTTATTGTAATCAGCAATATAATGATGTTATAGAATGTCTGGTCACTAAAAATAGGGTAAAAATTAAAAAAAAAAAAAAAGGTAAAATAAATTTAACATAACAGTCAAGAAATGTTAAATTAAACTAAACCTGGAATGACAACATACACCTTGATTTAAACGAACCAAAGTTAACATTTGATTTTTTCCTGAAGGGCCCACTTGAAAAGAAGGCCAACAGCCGGCTTGCTGCTGTGAGGGTAGGCTTTCCTCTTTTTCACCAGAATGAAGTCAATATGCCATTCATTGTACATGTACCTTCATGCACTTGTCAATTGCGTTCATTCTTACCCAGTCACCAACACCTATTGCTAAACATTTTTTTTTTTTAATGCGCTCAGCTTCTTTTGTTTTTCCTGCTCTCTTCTCTCAGCATATTAACCATAAAACCACTCTTAATAAATGTAAATTAGCAACTCTCAAAACTCTTTCCTCTTTTTGCAAATAAGCCTTCTTGGTAAAGGTGAGCTTAAAAAAACACAGCTTATAAATTGCTGGCAATAGAAATACATCCATTCAGTGAATTCCATTCTTAAGCATTTGTGTGTATCATTTTCATGTGTAAATATAAGTTTTGTCATTAATTTATACAATCATATGTTTTCTTGTGTCACATGATTTAGAGTAACTTTCAACTAAGTGTTGAAAGGAATTTGGGATTGCTCTGGTGTGGCTTTACTTTGTTCTGTTATTGGTACAGAAAACACACCTCCTTCTCAAGCAATCAGATGCGAAACAAGAAGCAATTGTGACTTTATCACTAGTGTTTTCCCCCATTAACCACATTTTTCTGCAGGTACCTAAAGAGAAAGATGAGATGGTGGAAAGGGAGTTCAACAGGTTGCTGGAAGCCACCTCATATTTGTCACATCAAATTGACTTTAACTACATGAACAGCAAACCTGTGTCTTTAGGCCATGCCCTGGAACTTGTGATCAAGTTAGTTACCAATGAATTTATATGGTTATAAACTGACTAGTCCAGTTTATAGCTAATTCTTTGTTATCTTGGCTGATTTTGGTGTTATGCATTGATTGGCATGGCTAAAATTAGTTAAAATAATTATATCTTTTGTGTAGTATGATTGATTCATTTTGTTTACAGCAAGTAACCCTATCATTTGTACCATTTTAAGAGAATTCCTCCAAATAAGAGCAAACCTGTTTATTCATCTAAATTTGGTCTATTGAGTTCAAATGTATGTACTGATTTGATTTCAGGATGCAAGAGAGGCATGTTAAGGAGCAGCAGATCGAACATGCAAAAAAGATTCTCAATATTCAAGAGCAACTGAAGGCTAACTTAGCCCAGGTAAATTAGTTTTACTTGGGGATCACCATGTTACATACTCTGGGTTTTCTGTGGTTGAGTCTTTCTGTGTTTAGTGTACCTCTCTGACCTGTGATTGATGAAGTATTGTTTTGCTTTTTATTATCAGATGGTGCAGATTAAGGAGAAAGTCAAGCAAACTCATAAGGAATACCAAGAGGCCCTCAAGGTCAAAGAACCAAGGTATAGCACAATGTCAAAATTTTTCATTCTTGTACTGCCAAAAGTGTCAAACAGATAACTTGCTCTCTGAATGGTAATTGCACTTTATCCAGCAGACAGGTCATAAGAAGAGATAAATAAATTACCAGTTGGAGGCTTAATCATACACTGAACTTTTTTAATTGCTCTATATAGAAATTTATAGTAATGAGGTGGGAGAATTGCAATTCACATCCTAGTGATTAAGGTTAATTTTGAATTCCACGACAGACAATTTCCAACAACAATTGCTCTTTAAGGCTCTGGCATGGCACAGCTCTTGCCCCATAAAAGATAGAAACACATTTTCTGATCACAAGAATGTTAGTGTGTGAGCTACATTCAATTGCATACTCAGCTTAATTTCCAGTATTTTTGTAAGTGCAATTTATAAATGCATTTGATTTTAGCAAGGATCTTTTTGTTTTCTTTGTTTGTGTTTTGCTTTTTCTGAATATTCTTCAAGTGTCAAGGTTATAATTTTGATAATTGAATTTCTCAACAGGGATGTCACATCAGAGTTTTTGGTGAAAAGCAAGCTAAGAGACCTGAATGCCCTTTGCAGGGTAAGTACATTATGGTGGGTTTGAAGGATAAAAAGTTCCATGGCTGTTTTTGCAAAGATAAAAAAACACTCATGATTTTATTTTTTTGATAAATCCAATTAAAGGAATATGATGAAATGGCAGAGGAGCAGCTTCGTATTGAGGAGAGACTTGAAGAACTTGAAGATAACCCACCGAGGTAAATTATTTAAATTTAGAAAACAGCTTTGTTCAAATGAGTTTGGGTTAAATCTGGTGTAAAGGCTTACATGAATACACAAGTGGTATTCTTGTTTTGCAATTTCCTTGTAATCAATTGGAATTTGCAATGAAATAGTTTAGCATGCAAGTTTGATTTAGCTCCCCCAGTGTGTCATTTAGAAGTGTTAAATCTGTTTTGATGGTCATTTCACAGTGATGTTTACTTATCATCAAGAGACCGACAGATCCTAGACTGGCATTTTGCTAATCTAGAGTTTGCAAATGCCACGCCCTTGACATCACTGTCACTTAAACACTGGGACCAAGATGATGATTTTGAGTTCAGTGGCAGTCACATGACTGTTCGTAATGGTTACTCTTGTCTTCCTGCTGCTTTGGCTGAAGGACTTGATATCAGACTCAACACTGCAGTGAGACATGTGCGCTATAACAGAACTGGTATGTGCCATTGCTTGCTCAGTGGATAACTTAATGGATGATATACATGTATATAGATTTTAGTTTCAATAACACTTCCAAAAAAGCTCATAGGCCCATTGTGTTTAAGAAAATCATACTTGAAAATCCAAAACAAAAATTTGGTTTGAAAAACTCAAAAGTCAGGTGAGTTAAGTTGCTTTGTGTTAATGTCTTTGTGGGTAGTATGCCATCCAAGATTAGAAACCTTACATCATTGTTGATTAATTTTAAATCCCTGTTTCCTGTTGCTTTTAGTGTTTCCTATACGCTGTTGATCTCTCTATTTCTTTTTTCCTGTGTCCCTTTCCATTTCATTTTTTCTTTATTATTTCTTTTTTATGTAGTCTTTCCTGTTGACGTCTCTATTTCCTGTTTCTTGTTTTGGTTTCCATTGTTTCATTCCTGTTCCTGTTTCTAGTCCATGTGGCATCGTACTCCTTGATTCAATTCCTTTTCCAGTTCCTGTCTATTTTCTCTTTTCATTTCCTGTTTCCTGTTCTAGCTCCCACAACTCAAAGACACTGAAAAGGTCTGTAACTAGCATAGCATTATGCCAGTGTGGTAGTAACATGTCTGTTGGTTATTTTCCAATCCATATACCACCTATTTCTGTCAACTGTGTTTTAGGTGTAGAAATTGTCACCCAGAGCACAAGCAAGTCATCAATCACTACAACACAGACATTTAAGGGAGATGCTGTGTTGATAACACTTCCACTTGGAGTACTCAAAAGCCATCCATCAGGTGTGCAGTTTCACCCTCCCCTCCCAGAGTGGAAGACTGCTGCTATTCACAGAATGGGCTTTGGAAATTTAAACAAGGTGGGAAAAAAACTTAATATCATACACAGATCCAGCAGTACAATGTTTGAATTTATATTAATAAAAATTATATTTGAGATGCTTATCTTGGTTTCACACAAATTCTAACTTACTTTGGATTTCCTCCACTGTTACTTGGAGGAAAAACTATTACAAGTTTCAAGATATTTTCACACCTACCATATAGCCAACTTTTGAAAAAAACTTTTATATCCATAATTTCCTCTTGTATAGCTTTTTATTTGTATATTGCTTTGACCAATGGTTGTTGATGTATTTTATGAGTTTGGGACATAGGAGATATGTGACCCTTAAATCCTTCAATTTGTAGGTCAGATACTTTACCATGTTAGAAGGAGAGAACTTATTAGTGAACTTCATGTCTCCCATTTATGCAGTTCATATTGAACTCTTCATAAGAATTTAATTCAACAGCTGTGTTTTATTTGTATAAGGTGGTTCTTTGCTTTGATCGAGTGTTCTGGGATCCAAACACCAACCTGTTTGGTCACGTTGGAAGTACAACGGCGAACCGTGGTGAGCTTTTCCTGTTTTGGAATCTGTACAAGTCACCGGTGCTTATTGCTCTAGTGGCTGGTGAAGCTGCCAATAAGCTGGAAAATGTGTCTGATGAAATTATTGTGGGAAGTGCTATTGCAGTCTTAAAAGGAATATTTGGGAGCAGTGCTGTTCCTCAGGTTTGTTACTTACTTTTTCCCATTAAACTCCCCTGCTCTGAGATAAATTTCAAATACAAAGGCTGGTGAAAATTAACCTTCTCACAGCTGAGATCTGGAATGTTATTCCTCCCAACAGCAGACCATACATTTCTTTATTGGCTTCTCCTGAGAATTTAGCACTATGTTCTGCCAACAATTCTTACTTGATGATGTGTTCTATGTTCTGCCAACAATTCTTACTTGATGATGTGTTCTATGTTTTGCCAACAATTCTTACTTGATGATGTGTTCTATGTTCTGCCAACAATTCTTACTTGATGATGTATTCTTTGTTTGCCACCTGTCTACATGGGTTAACCGACTGAAGCTTCACTTTCAGCCTTGGCAAAATCCATATATTTTAAAAGCCAACTTTTGTTTGTTTTTGTTTGCAATATTTAGTTATGGGACTATGCTCATCGTACAGTCATCCATTTTCATTTAAAAAAACACTTAAACCTGAACTTTTCATTGTTATTGTGTGAAACTAGGTTTTGAGTTTGCCAAATGGTGGCAAAAGAAAATGTGAGAAAGCAAAGAATCTTATTAGCTAGGTTCCCACATTTACAAACTATAGTAGACTTGAAAGTTTCTGCCAGCTAGTCTTACTTAGGGCCTCAAACTTATTTGAGAGGAAAGAAATGCACTTGTTGAAGTTCCATTGATGAGAAACTGCTCACAGACTAATTTTATGTGTTAAGGATAATGTCAACTAGAAAGCAAAGAAGCTGAGTCCCCACCACTGCCTATGGCACTTCATGATTGAATCTTTTTCTTTCAGCCTAAAGAGACAGTTGTAACAAGGTGGAAGTCAGATGAGTGGTCACGAGGCTCTTACTCCTTTGTTGCTGCTGGTTCTTCAGGAAATGACTATGATCTCATGGCTTCTCCAGTGGCACCTCCACCAGTATCAGGGATGCCTCCAGGTAATCCTGCCCCACCCAATCCTCCCAGAGTGTTCTTTGCCGGGGAGCATACAATAAGGAATTATCCTGCCACAGTACATGGAGCTCTTTTGAGTGGCTTGAGAGAGGCTGGCAGAATTGCAGACCAGTTTTTGGGACTACCTTATGAAGTAAACAGAATTGGGCAGCCACCCATGACCCAGGCCTAAAGTCCTCTAACAAGTTGATTTGTCCAGGAAAGATGATGCGGTGCTCAAGTTCAAGTTCCAGCTTTTATAATGTGAATATTGTTGTCAAAATGGACAAACTTTGTTACCTTTGTTATGGTTTTAAGGTCAGTATGCTGTCACAGCATGTCTTATGTGCCTTTTAATCACAGACTTGATGTACATAGAGTTTTTGTTGTAGAGGACATTGTCAAAAATTAATTATATTGTAACAAGTGGTAGGTCTTTAAGAAGTTTGATGTTTTTATCAGGGACATTTAACTTGTAGCTAAGTCACAATCCTCTCATTTACATACACCTCCTAACAGTTCTCTTCAAGCATCTTATCATCAATTTACACCATGAAGGAAACTTTTAGGGCATAACTTTAAAAAAACCCTACTATGCTAGATAGTTAAATGTTCATGTTCTGTAAAATTAGTCTCATCAATGAAAACAGTTTTTTTGGAGGTGTGACAGAAAAAGTGGTTGGTAGTACTCTCCTACTTTATCAACATCTTTTTTGTTTGTTTGTTTGTTTTTAATGTAAACAAAAACTTCCTTAATTTAAACTTTCTGATAGTTAGTCATTAATAATATTGAATGTTGTTAGATGCTTCAGGAAACATGTACAAAACATTCTCTTTCCTTTTCATGTTATATCATCCATGGAAAATGTATATTAATATTTATTACAAATAAAAAATATTAAAATTAATAGAATTGTGGCCTTCTCTCTAGAATTTAATCTATGACTGCAGCTGACTTATATATCAGTTGCAGCACATTACACTTGGGTTACTCCTGGGAGTGGAAAGGTCAAAACTCCATCCTGTCATAAAGAACTGTTGATCAACTAGTGAAGGCTGATTCCATACCAAAGGGCAGGGTTCCCTCTTCTCACATGTAAAATACAGATTCTGGTGTCATGGTGTAGAGATGGATAGCCAGGAATCCTAGCTGGGAACATATCTTAGAGTCCTGGTCACAAGGACAAGGGAAAATTTGCAGATTTGTGGACAAAACCATTATCATGGTAGCTCTTTTATATCAAAAAGAGGTTACTTTTTATCAGTGAAATGAAGCTCATGCCATGCCTGGAATGGTTTCTTTTTCAGGTAACCTCATTTCAAATTTGTAATTCAGCATCTCCATCCCTTTCTCATAAGAGCCTTACTGCAGAATGGGTCATGGGTGATTGAAGGTCCTTTCATATGGTCATACTCCAAGATAATAATTATTACAAAATGATTTCAATTGTGCATGTTTTATTTTCCTAATAAGTTAAGAAAATATACACTCAGTACTCATTTCTGATACAAGTGGAAAAAGATAAACATTTTGTCATGTATACCCATAGAGCTAACACTCAATTATATTAATTTTTACTTAAATTTTGGATTCCCTACCATAAGGACTCTGCCTGACTTGCTTTACATTAACTCTTGTGGGTTAACAACAAAACATAATTTACTATCAATCCACAGTTCCAACCAAACATATTGGTATCTATTTACAAACTGCACACCAATACCAACAGCCTGCTTCTGTTTTTTGTTTTTTTGGTGTGTCAACAACATTATGTATAAATTTATGATGAGGGTGAAATCATTCATTCTGATAGCTGAAAAATTAATATTAACATTATCATTTTCACCCAATTAGCATGCTAATTACTTGGTCTTCAAATTTTCATTAGCCAATTTTCCACTCTCTCACTGAGCAAAGTGATAAAGCAAAGTGTATGCAAGACATAGCAGAAATTTGGAAGCAATGATCATAATATAAAGTACAGTCTCTGAAAAATCAGAACAACTTGATGATGATCAGCCTAGTCCTTACTGCCTCACCACAAGGTGACAATATAAAACTAAGGGGTGACTAAAATAATTACCCACCACTGCTATTCTAGTGATCCAAACATTAACAACATTTATCATGAACGAACAAGTCTTCTACCCAGTCACAGTGAAATTTGACACCAATAAATCCAAACTTGAAAAGTCTTTTGTCACACTTAGAAACTTAATTTAATTTAACACTCATTTTCCCTTTGTGTCATTCTTCCCAACTGGAAAAAAACATTGAATGAAATAGTTAAGAACACTGCTGATTCTTATGAAAAGAACAAAGGGAAACAGTTCCCATGAAAGAGTACTTTCATGTCATTCAACCACTTGTGGTGAAATCGGAAAAATAAATAAATAATCACTTATAAATAAGTTTTCTTGTCTCACTCAGGTAAAGCATTCTTTAATAAATCAATGTTTGATGTAGAAAGTTGTGTTGGAAACACAACTTCAAATTCCACCATCATGTCAGCTCGCTGATTCAGCCTCTTGGGTAGTGGCAAACCTTCACCTTTAATTCTGCGTTTTGCCCCAGGTTTAATGATACTGTTTAATGGAATATTGACAGTCCGTCCATCTAGTGTTGGAACTGGTACCATTGAAGCTGTTGTATGACCAGTTAAGGCATCTCTGAGAGATAAGGGAGCAGTGTACAAAATGTTATTATCTTGATCTCGTTTGAAATTAACATGGGGCTTGTCCTTGATTGTGAAAACGATGTCAGCAGGAACAGTGTGTGGTTTTTGGTCCCCTTCTTCTGGGAAAGTAATTTTTGTTCCTTCCTTCCAGCCCTTTTTCACTTCAATGGTGAGAATCTTTTCTTCAGGGTGAGTTGTCACTCGGTCTTGATTCAAAACTTTTTTAATGATCTTCAGTTTTTTGGTAGTTCCTGATAACAACTCCTCTAGAGTCACCATGAGGTATTTCTCTATGGGAGGATCTTGAGCCTTTTTGCGAGCAAATGAATGCATATCTTCAAAGGATGATGATCTCTGACGACTGAAGCCAGGGTAACTCTGATGACGAAAGCTGGAATGGAAACCTCCCATATCTGAAAAGTCACCTCCTCCAAATGCCCCACCTTGCATGCCAAAACCTTGATCGAACATTCCTAGTAGAGAGTGCACCATTAGTTATATATCCATAAACAAAACAAAAAAGACTTAAAAACATTATGTTTGATCATCAGAAGAATAAATAATGGTGTTTGAATAACTTTAGATGGCCCATCATTTGGAAAACCTAGAAAACACATGAAAAAGCATCTCACTTAGGAAAAGTGCCAGTTTCTACAACAAATAATCTGTACATCCTTGACTGGGAAAGAAATTTCAAATTAGAACTGGATGGCTAGCAAGGTGCTTGCAATCAAGGTGGAACAAAAGTCTCTGTTTGAAGGCTTCCAATTTAAAGGAAAAGTATGTTCCAAAATTTACATTTCATTGCAGCAATTTAGAAGCATAGGTGAATTTATTAGTGGATGGCACACTGAGTGCATTTTGAGAATCTGAAGAGAAAATTAACTTAACATAAAATTGTCCTATATATGCTTTACTTCAACTACAGATGATGCTATTTAGAAAATTGTGTGGCAAATCAGCTACTCTCTTTTAAAATGGCTGTGTCCAAAGTCAAATTAGAGCACATATGGAAACAATTTTACATTTCATTATGAATTTCTTTCACTTGACAAAGATCATAATCATATGGTTTCTGGAGCATACTTCCCCATCAAAGGACCACCTGGAAAGACCTGCACACCACTTCAGTCTAACTTTAAAACATGCCACAAAACTAACACTCAGAATGCCAGAACACAAAAATTAGTAATTTGCACAACTCAATAATTATCCCTTACTCTTTTTCAGAAAATGCAAAACAGAGCAAATGAAAAAATGGTTCATTCAATCCCTATAAATTAAGCTATATGTTTTTTTTAAAGCTAGAAATAGGTATAAAAAGCTTCTAGAAAAATCATACAGACACAAGGAACAAATAGCTTAAATTCTGTATTGAATGGACCTAAATTAGTGTGAATAATTTACAACAATCACTGTTGTAAAGTAGACTTTCCAGAAAATTCCTATGCATTGCTAGAAAGAGGTGTTCCCATTTTTTGCACCACAGTGAAAATTTTCTGACAATGGCAGCTAGGACCAGGAAAATTGTGTTCTCCAGAAACTGAACTTAATTGAGCACATCAGTCGGTTTTGTGCACAAGTTTCTTAAACTTAAGTGCAAAAAATATCCAAACTGACCCTGTTAATACCATGCTAAAGAAATAAGAATGTTGATGAGTTAATTCTTCCTTAGTTCTTGAGCCATAACAAGAAAAATATGGCCTATTTTTTTTTTTTATGAGATAAACCCAGACAACAATGTTTGAATGTTTGCTTTCATTAAGTTTGCAAACAAAACAGAATGTTCTAGTTTTTTCACTGATTTTTTCTATTTTGCAACTCTATACCACAAAGGGAGATTTTTTTTAAAAGGAAAAAAAACTTTCCAGTATAGAATGATGAATATTTTTCTGACTTAAAATGTTCTAGTTTCTTCCAGCTGATGTCAAATTTAGACCAAAAAGCAACATTTCTTCCAAGAAAAATAAATTTCAATAGCTTTTCAGCTAGGGATAATGTTTAAACTGACTTCTCTGAATACTTCCCTAAATCAACAATTAAAAAAAAAACTCTAGAAAGTTCCCTTAATTTTCCATGCGATTGCCCCCTAAGATGACAGTAGCAGTTTATCTCAGTCTGTTTAACAACAATGGGCTATTTCTAATGGTATTATTTTCCTTACCCAGCCACAAGTCCATAAATTTAATTGGCACAAAAGAACAAATTTATTAACAACTACGGCTAATTTCTATAGTTCAACGACCATGAAAGGGGATGGCATATCGAAATCATCTTAGAAAACACTTCATAATTTGGAAGATTGACGTTACATCTTAGCAAAAATAGAGCATAAAATAGAGGAAAAATTTTGAAGAAAGTTATACAAAAAAAATTGAGTCGTGTTAATGAACGTCTTTGTTTAAAATAGCATACAACTCTAAATATAACAGGTGCAGCGAGGTTTAATACAACCGAAGGCGACCATGTATAGTATTGCATCGAACAAAACTTTTCAGTTATATTGAATTAGCATGTAAAATTTTCAAAGCGATATTCAACTTGAGATATTATCTCGACATTTCAATGCATGTAGACCTACCTCTAAAGGGATCGTCTCGTCCAAAGACTCTTGAAAACGTGGACATCGGGTCTCCATGGAAAGTAAAAGCTGTAAATCCAGGCGGCATTTGAAAATTAAACTCTGTCGTACTCGCTTGAGGTTTGCCAGTTCCTTTCAAGCCTTCTTCACCGTACTTATCAAATATCTCCCTTTTTTGAGGGTCGCTAAGAACTTCATACGCTTCTGCTATTTCTTTGAACTGGTCTTCTGCTCCAGTGCTTTTGTTTTTGTCTGGATGATACTTCAAAGCCATCTTTCGGTAAGCTTTCCTAATCTCGTCTTCGCTTGCGTTGCGCGGAATATCCAAGATCTTGTAATAATCTTTCCCCATTGTTTTGTGGACGTCTGCGGAACTATTCACTTCTAGTTGTTTTCGACCCGGTTACATAAGTTTTTATTGCACAGATGGGTCCAGACCTTTATCCAGGGTAAATAATAATAAAATCGTGACGTTGACGATGAAAATTAACGGCAAAGATGTTAACGTCGTACCGTGCTAGAAAGTTCCGACAACCTCCATTATGACCGCGCGAAAAGACTGGAGTCAAGTGCGGTTCATCACGGTTTTAGCAGTAACCTTCGTCACGTTCTCTAATAGACATTTTCTTGAGCTCTCATCTTCCGCAGTTTCCTGACATTTCGAAACGTTGAATTGATATGGAAATGTAATTTTCAGTCAGGAAACGTGGGATTTGTTACAATTGAACAATATTTTGCCCCACGCTTTCTGAACAGATACGCAAGAAGAGACCGGGGGCGGGGAGGGGGAGTGGTGGTAACGCGAAGAGCCGGCAGGGCGGCATGTATGCGTAATGCATACCACCGTTATTGGAGAGGGCGCTATCGATGAAAAGAAGTAGATTGAATAATAAAGAGAGACACCACATTTCAAAACAAACTAAAGATACAAAAGAAATGAGCTACAATACGAAGTTGAAAGAGCAGAAACCGGAATTTTAGGAGCAATATTCCTTCAATAATCGGGTGATATTCGTGGCTCTTAACTCCACGTGAATTGCAAAGAGAGGAAGAAAGAATCAGGTTTCAGTCAGGTATTCGCGAAAAGCTTAGACTTCACGCCACGAAACAGGAAATCCGCCTATCACCAGCAGGTCTGGGGAGTTGTAAAAACAAAAAGTTAGGAATATCGGAGGGCAAACGTAACATCATCAAGTTTTCTTTTGACAATATCAAACCTTAATCTCGCTTTGTTGACAATGTCGAAAGCAGTCTCTGTCAACCCACACGACGTTTAAAATCGCGGTTATTGCCACAAATATTTTGACAATGTTGAGCGATCGAACGTTCTAGAAAGATCCATTTGTATCGACGTTCTAGATTCTGTCGAGCACGGAAATTCTAAGCTGAGGAAACCGGTACCCAAATTGGAGTATTAAGAATCATAAAGCAGTTTTATTTGATGCAAATACTTTTTTATACTTGCAAAATTTTTCTGGTAACAACGAGAACAATGTTCGCGCGTGCACCCAGCCTGAACTTGAGTATGCGTGACCAAGTTCAAGTAGTAAATCAACATGATCAATACCGCGAGCATTTGTTTTCCATTCTTTAAATCCCTCATCTTCTGGGACTCATCTCTAATCCTTATGTCTTTACAATCGCTACAACGTCTTGTTAGATGACTAAGTTACTCGTGTCGAGACTTAACCATGAGCAGAGAGATCCCGGTAACAGTTCACCCCGAGTTCAAGCAGGGAAAACCCCGCATTTTCACTCGATCCTCGAGTTTGCCCAGTAGACCGAAACTGAAATTGGTCGTGGAAACTGTTTCAAACCCGTGCGAGGCTTCTAAAGAAAGATCTTCAAAGACAGCACACGAAAATACACAAAACACCGATGATTCGTCGAAACAAAGGAAAAATGGAAACATCAAAAATCAGCAATACAAATTGTGGAAATATAGTTTGCCTGAACATTTTCAGCGAGTTCAAAAATCGAGTGAAGATGAGCCTTGTGAACAACAAAATCACACCGAACGAAAAGAACAAAGAAGACATTTTTTCAGAGAAAATCCATTTGTTGGAGATTTGCAGAAGGCGTTTGAAGATCATTACTTGTCCCGATCAAGTCTTCCTGTAAGACTGGGAAGAAGAAATACGTATAGTGCCAGAAGTTTACGAGAAACTTCGCCCTCCGCGCCAGAGATTAGTAAAATCTCTCTACCCAAGACGTCTTTCAGTATTCCCATTCAGGTTGAAGTCGATGAGAAAGTAAAAGGTGGGGGTGAAAACGGAGAGGAGATTCTAAAAGAAAATAAAGTGATCGAGGCAGATGGCAAAATAGAAGATGCCCGCGGCTCAGAAAGCGTTCAAGTTGAAGAAAAAACTACCAAGGAAGCAGAGGTCGATATGAAGAAGGATAATTACACTATACTCGACATTGACAACGCTTGCGCCGTTAGTTTTGACAAAAAGGACTACTTCGATATGGCTACGAGCCAAGAAGCTTTGGGAAAATCTTATTTCAACGGCGGTGGAGATGTTGGGGAGGAAATCACCAAGACCAATACTGAACAATTTAAGGAATACATTAAAGAATACACAGACAAAGGCGAAGAGTCTCAAAGTGAAGACTCATTACCATTGGAATTTTCAGTTGAAAATGAAAGCAAAAATAAACTGTTAACAATTCAAAGCATTCTCACGAAAGCAGAAAAGCTTGAAAAGGAAGTACTTGCTTTTGATGAAAGTAGCAAGAGTAAGGCGTACCTAGCTATTGAAGAAAAACTTACGCGTCTTTTGATCGAATTGGATGGCATTGAAGCAAATCGAGACGAAAACATCCGCTTGACAAGAAAAAGGGCTGTGCAACAGTTGCAGAGAGCACTAACACAACTGGAAGAAAACATTTCGTGCAGAGGCGTTCAAAACAACGAAGACAAAGATTGGTCTCTAGGCATGAACAGATGCGAAAGTATCTAGATTTAATTTCAGCTCCCCTGGCTATTTCCGTCTATAAACAGCCTTTCATGAAAAAATTGTGTATTCTACTGAAAACATAGCAGACATATATTGGACAAGCATTTACCTATTACATATCTCGAAAACAATTAATTTAGACTCTGTACTATGATTTCTTAGAAAATAATTTAAAATTTTTCCCGAACGCTTTGTTCCAGAAATGTCTATCCAAATCTTTTGAAATATTTTGAAAACTTCCCAGCCACACCTGACAAAAAAAAAACGATGTTTGTGACAACTACCGACAAAAATTACAAAAGACTCCATGCGGTCTCTTAATTTTTTTTTTTTTTAACATTCTTAGCTACTTGCCCAGAAGGTTCAAAAGTCTTAGACAAAATAGATCCGTTTTGCATGTTTTTCATCTTTTTTCTGTCAGGAGGAGGAAGGATGTTTTCTGTTCGATATTTTGTGATGGACGTCTAATTAAACTCGCTGTCTCCTTTTCAATTAGGGGTATATGCCATAATTTATAATACTACGTATACTAGTTCACTTCTAAGGAATCTGTGGTTACGAAAAACTAATTTGTCAGAACACAGTTACGAAAAATATCCTGCAAAGCTATTTAAAATTTAATGTCATATGTATTACAGCACGCAATAGTGACGTCGTGGAAAATTCTTCACTACAAGAACGCGCCTGAGAGGCCTAAACGAGTTGTTTCTAGAGCGTTTTTTTTTCCTCGTCTGCTAACAACAATAGACTGATTTCTAAAAAAACATTTATATTTAACCACAATAATTTAAAATAACCCAAGTATTCCTTCATCTATTTCATCAAAGAATTTTTTACGTGTTTTAAAGGAGAAATGAGATGTTTTCTGATGTATTGAATGTTGAGTGATAAACATAGTTTACAATTAAACACCAAAATAGCTAATCAAGTCATAAGTAAATGACGACTTCAGTTCCTTCGGTTTTCCAAAAACTTCTCGATATTTCAATGATCAACTCGACATTGGTTCAAAGAAAGTCATTAAAATTACCTATTCGAAATTTTGCATCATCCGTGACAACACGCAAAGCCTACTAATAAATGTAGGATTGCATAACATTTCAGTAGCAGACAATCGTTGTTTGAGTTTTTCGTTTAAAATATCTCCTATACAGAATGTTATACATGGTATAAATGTAGTATTAGTCCTCGCCAGCGGGGAGAGCATCTTCTAACTTCTTTATAAACTTGAGTCTAATTTCTGTTGTCTCGTCGCCTCTTAACGAATCATGAACAAACCAAACATCAACTTCCATTTGTACCTGAGAGGGAAATAATGCAAAAAAAAGATTATTTGTTTCCACCATGTCAGCAGTTTTTGAAGAACGAGGAGATACAGACTAGGCTTTACAGCAATTTATGAGATAACTCAATAATTTTTAGGTTTCTAGGAAATTTGACAGACCTCATTACTGAGCTGTAATATCAGTTACTACAGGCCTAAAATGTCAATTATTGTTTTGTTCTAATAATTTTATCAGGTCTTGTTAAAGCAAAACAAGGATCTTCACAAGTAAGCTACAATTTAAGAAACTGCAGAAAAGATGCTTGACAAAATTCAGGCTTCGATGGGATTCAGACCCATGCCTACCAGATACTAGTTGGGTGCTATTTGCAAATGATGTAATATGACTGCAAGTGCAATTTGGGGTTAATAGGCTCCAGTAAAATTTTCAAAGACAACAAAATTGCACAAGCCCTTTAATCACACCAAATGGCAAGAGAAATCATGCTAGTACTTGTTAATAATGTACAGGAAAAAATCTCACTGAAAGTCGAGACAGACAAAATTTTGAGAGCGTGCACGCTATTTGTAATTTGCACCAGTGTTACCACTTTGCACTCGTGTTACAACTATGCATATGTGTTACACGAGAATGCACTTGTTTTCATCCAGTCAGGACCACCTAATTTTTCCAAGTGCATTATTCACCCTTTACCTCACAGAAGTGATTAGCATGTAACTTCTCAATACAATATCCATTAAGTATCCACCAAACAGGTGATGAGAATACTCAACCTTATCAGGTCAAAGTTGAGATCTAAATTCGACACCAGTTTCTCACTACTAATTTACAAGGAAATTTGTAGATTGCACAATTTACGAAGTGTTCACTAAGTGGGAGGAAAGTTTTAAAGCTGTGGTAAATGTAAGTCCTCCTGATTGTAAGGACATATCAACGCCCCTTGGACTCTTACCATTTCAAGGGCTCCCCTCAGGACACCACAAAGTATGTTGGAGAAAAGAAGTCCTTCATGTCCTTCTGGCAACTCAGCAAACTCTGCCATGGGATTGTTGTCTAGTATTAAGGAAAATTCATCTGATGCTGCACTCCAATTTGTTACCACTGGTGAAATACCCAAGAACATTTTAAATCCCAACTGTTAAGAAAAAAGGGAAAAAAAAGCAAATAGTAAAGAAAAACATCACTTTCAGAAATCAAGCATATATTTTTTAAAATAAATTTAAAAGAGACTGTAAAAAAATTTAAAGAGGTACTGTCAGTTATATATTTTTTCTATACTTTTCAGCAGAAGTAGGGAAGGGGGATATTGAAAATTCAAATTTGTCGCTAAATAGGGAGTTAAAAAAATACTAAGTCAACATGGTGTGGTCACTGATTTTGTTCATTATTAGAGCACACTAACATACTTCCAAGCATTCAGGCTTGGAACTCCATAATTCACCTCCTCCTCAGACATCCCTCTGTGGTTTTAGTATTTTGTGAGTTCTGACTCACCAAAAACATTTTAAGCTACACTTAGTGTCCCTCAGGTGCAATAAGAACTGACAAATAGAAATGTTGCCAGAAATCGTTCTATCACTTTCATATGATCTGCACTCTTAGGTAGAGAAGTTCATCAAACTTTTTTCTAGGAATTTTAACTAACCTTGGCAATAACATCAGCAGTTTCTCGAAAGTCATGACACCTTCCAACATTGGATCTTGCCAAGAAGTCCTCTACTAATCGCACACCAATATTATAACCCCTATAAGGAAAATAATCACCCTATTCACACTTCCTTCTTTGGGAAAATATGGAATTTAAGAAAACCATGATGGCAATGGCAATGGGAAGTTTACTAAAGGAAAGGTTTAATAAGCAGAACAATGGCTATACAGGTGCATTATAAATCTTTGCAAATTTCTTTGCATCCTCTGCAAAAAATCAATGTGAAATGACCAAACTTTGCATTGTCTAAAGAATGTGAACAATGATGGCAAATTTTTTAAATTTCTAATTCAACACCATGTTCCATTTTCAGTTTTGAGATAGTTTTGACATTAGGAAACAAACTGAATGACTTAAGAGTATCACAAGATTCCTAGTAAAATGTAAGTTTAATATTTGACTGTAAAAATTGATTGTATGGTCAGACTTGAAATATGTTTGAGTAACTACTCTAAAAGCATTGTTCGTTTCTAACAAGAAAGGGAAGCTACCCAAACCACACGAAAACATCAGGGCAGCTAACATGGTGCACCAGCGTCTCAGACCGAAGGATTGCAAAGACCTCAATTTTGACCATATGATTGATTTCTGTGTAGTCAAAGTCTTCGTGGCTTTGTTAGAAACCAAGGAAAAGTTTCTCAAACTTATGAAAGGTCTGTGAGTAAGAAAGAAGTACATACTAAACAAACAGTGCTCCATTTTGTTCTTAGAAACAAACAATGTTTTTTTAGAGTCATTACTCAAACAGATTTCAATTCTGACCATACAATCGATTTCTGTGTAGTCAAAGTCTTCATGGTATTGTTAGAAACCAAGATAAAGTTTCTCAATGTCTCATTTTGTTGTTGGAAACGAACAACGTTTCCCTTTGTTGTTAGAAACAAACAACAGGGGAGACTATCACTTTAGTGATAAAAAATTCTCATTTTTATTGCCTATTTATAAAGTCTGAAATTCTGATATTTTCAATATTTGTTTCTTCGGGCAACTTGACTTTTTTTTTCGGGCAACATTACTAGAATTTCAGGCAACATGACTCAGGTTTCGGGTGACATGACCACGAGCGAGATAACTCTCAGGCGACTTGACTGTAAACCTGGGAAAGACATGTTACCTCTCTCCACCCGTAAGTACAAAATGACAGTACCAAGCAAACTGTAATGAGAACTGATCAATTGCTAGGTAAGGGCGGGTAGTAACATACATTGAACCTATATACCACCCACAGGAAGTAGCAATACTCCTTGACACCTTGAGAAAAAAAAGGAGGTAATGAAAGGAGATAATTTCTGGAAGTGTGGATTTTAACGAGCTAAATGCAGTGAAGCTGTTAACTACCTCATCCTTCTAAATCCCTTGCAACTTGCACTTTCCCAGGGTAGTCTGTCACCATTGTAATGAATGATTTACACAGTAATAACTTAACCCTTTCACTCCCAAGATTTTGTTGTTAATTCTCCCCTCTAGCATCTACACATTTCTATTTTACATGTAGATTACTAATGAGAAGTTATTATACAATCAGGACAACAATTCAATCTGATGAGTTGGAGTATTCTCATTACCTATTTGCTGGATAGTGTAGGGATATTGTAGGGAGAAGTCTTATGTAAATCACTTCGGAAAGTTCAGGGGTTAACAACGTAAGGCTTCTTTCCCATGCTTACATTACATCTCTGTAGAAGTTTCTTTGAATAACTACTCACATTTTGTCAAGCTGCTTGTTCACTTCTTCATCACTCTCATAGTCTTTAACCAGCTGTGCTACAAGTGCTCCGTGTGTCAGGACAAACAGCTCTGCACTCTAGATAAGAGTGAAAATCAAATTGCCTTCGTTAATAATCCTGGCTCTTCATGACACTGGTTTTGAAGCCTTCAAACGAACCAAACAACTCACCACTTTTCTATTGTCGGCACGAACAGTCGATTGACGAGACATTGTGATAAATTCAAATTTTCAAAACGGAGAAAATTTGAAAATCAAGTTAAAACAACGAAGGTTACTCACTGCCAGAGTAAAACATGGCTGCTTTCGCTACAAAGCCTTAGCAGCCGCGCCTTTTAAAATTAGCTTGGTAACCACTTGCTATCATGGCGGTGAGTAGGAAGCTTTGTTTGTGCTCGTTCTCTTAGATTGTTAGATTGATAGATCGTTTTACAATTTTGACATGTTTGATTTCGTTTTCTATCGGTAGTCGCTACCAACTGTCACGACTGCTTCGTCCTCTCCAAAGACTGGACAGCAGAAAAGTATCGTCGAGGTGTTGCAAGATATTCAAAAGAGAATCCAGGTTTGCATTCAAGCTTAGTTATCATTAATTGAAGGGGCAATTATTGGGCAGTATATTTTAACGAAAGTGGGCTATGTTTTGCTAAGGAAATAGGAATTTAGTTTCTAGCCTAACTAGATAAGGAAGAACTCAGCAAATATCAGTGTCGGGTTATCTGAGGGGTTCCGTACAATTTTCGTCGGCATGAACAGATACATGTAAATATTCGGGATACTATATTTTCGAAATCACTTCAGAACAATGAAGATATTGTTGATTAGGGAGATGAAGTTGTTGAACTTGTTAGTTTTGATAAGAAGGGAGTTAATCATATTACATGAAATTGCAGTTATACAAACCAAAACTAGGGTTTTACTTGACGTTCGAAATCAAAATTGCCGTTAATTTTGCAAGATATCAAAATCAGTGTAAAGTTGATATGGAAATGTGACCCTTTGACAGTGAGCAGCATATAATCTCTCCTTACAATATCACCCCTGAATCACACAATAAGGTCACAAGAATGAAGGAACTGGTCACCAACTAAACAAGCTCTTGATTGTTAAACAAATTCTCCTTGTCAGCACAAAAGAAATGTCTGATGTTACATGTGGTCATTTGTTGCATGTGTGGCACTAGAAATATCAAGTTTTAGACTAAGATTGATGAATTTTTCAGACAGATGCTCTACCATTGAAAAGCTTCAGAGGACTTATTGATGAACTTGGCTTCAAACTAAGCTTAGCTCATTATATTGCTTGCTTGTCAAATATGTTGTAAATATCAGCACATACCTCAAGGGTGTATTGCCTTCTCCTCAGGGATATGGCCCAGGTCCGTACACTCCAGAGCAAGCAAAGGAAGTTGAACGGCTTAAGGTTCTTTTTCGTAGACTGAAGGCAGAAAATGAAAAGGTAAGAAAACATTTTCAAGGACTGGCATTTCTGTAGTTATTTGATTTGTGACTACCAACATTTTCCCCTTCCAGGTACTAGTTGAATATTTTGAGTTTGAACTGTAGTTGGTCCCTTGTTGTACTTGCCTTTGGTCTAATTAGCCATTGTGATTGCTTTGATTGGCTTTAGATTTGTAGAACTGAATAAAAATCGCCTTTTAAAAGGTTGTTTACATAGCAGAAAAAATTGCATATGGATGCATTTAGAAATGACCACAGATCCAAAGTTTTGCTAACTGTGCATACTGAATTATTTAGGATGGGTGTGGAGCCATGTTTTTACCAAGGTTTTTGGACCATAGGCATAGACATCTTTGGCCCAAAAACTTGAAAAGAACTTGGATCCAAACCACTTTGTTTTATCTAACCTTGATCAGATGTGCCCAAACATTTTCCAACAGCATTTACTTGTTGATTTTTTAGCAAAACTCCTTACATGTCAGTTTCAAATCCCAAGAATCATCTCCATACAAAGAGAACTAAACCCCGTAAGAACCTCAATCATGAATGAAAAAATTGTCCTCTGAAAAGGAGTAAATATCTGAAGGGTGCATAGTATGTATTATGTATGCAAACTGCACCCAACCTGGTGATCAAGATACAATGTCTGAGTGGTGAGTGAGATTCTTCCTTGGGATCAGAAAAAAGAACTGCAAACAAAAACATATCAAACTTGATATTTTTCTAAACCAATTGTTTTCAAAAGGCAATCCAGGAAGGCAAGATAGCTGTGATGAGAACAACAACTGTCATGACACCTGTCACTCAGGTCTTGGTACCTACTCATGTGGCAGCACCCAACACCATGCAGATGACAAAGATTGCTCCTGCAACCACAGCATTACCAAACCAACAGACTACTGTCCTTCCTGCAACCACTGTCACTGGTGGGATCCCTGTTGGTCAGGCCTCACTGGCCGCAAAGACTATTCTCCCTCAGACGACTACTTTGCAACCAATTCAGCCTCAAAATGTGGTCATTAATCCAGCATCCATTCAACAGCTTCAGAGAACTGCAGATGGAAGTAAGGAAGGTTTATTCACATTTGGTGCTACCATATTCATTTTATTTGAAAATTGTGGGACCAAGTAGTTTATGAGGGGCTCATGATCAAAAAGTCAGCATTAGAAACTCAAGTTGTGCATATTCAAACTCAGAAAATGGTGAGGTTACCAGTATTTCCAATTTCTTTTATTGTGGGCCAGATTTTCTCCTTCACTCAGTTCATGTAAAGAATTTTGTTTTCTGTTCATAATTTCAGTATTCTCAGATACAATAAGATTTGACTACTTAAGCATTGGCTGAAATTTTGCTAGTTCTGTTGCTCAGTTCTTCATTTCTGAAATGGAATATGGCTTGTGTTGAAAAAAAGAATGAGCTTCTTAGCAATTTTCTTTTAAAACTTGTTGAAAACAGTGCACTTTAATTTCTGCCTCATTTTACATTTTAACTGCAGAAAAATAAGATACAAACCATTGAGTAAAAAAAATTTAAGGTGGGATAATATTCTAAACTAAGATAAAACATTTTCAAATATAAACATCATATAAAATTTTTTATTAACAATAATTTCTATGATAAATTAAATTACAGTTCAACGTACAGTGAAGTCACCTCAACCTACCACTCTTCAAGTCACACAGACTCTAGCACCTGGACAGCAGATAGCAGTCAGAACTGTCACCCCAGCACAACCAGGACAAGGCATTAAACCCACAGTTACTCTCACAAACAGACCCATGCAAGGTTTGTGGCTAAGTTGCTATATAATGCATGTTCTTGTTGGCTGAAACAGCATGCTATATCAGAGTACAGATTCACAGAGTCAGATTTGTACAATGGCTGACAAATTCCCAGACTTCTCTCTCTGTTTTTTTTTTCTTTTCTTTTTTTTTTTACCTAAACATCTTGTATGATGTGGAAAATAAATGCGAAAACAAACCCTAAACTTCAACTGATACAGAATAACCTGTAGGTAACAGCAGAAATCACATGGAGATAGAAAGTGAAATTTTAGAGCAACTTAGTTTAGATGAAAATATGCAACAGGTTAGCATGCTGGTATGTATTTATACTTTCGGGCGGAAAGAGACAATGTGAAAATAGTGTCTCATGGCAGCCCCCACATATAAACAATGTTAAGTGTGCCATTGTTCAGGTTCATACATCTTCAATTAAGACAGAATCAGAAATATGGATGTTGGATTAGACTTCCAGATGTTCTTGTCAGGGAGTATTTTGCACATCAAGCCTAAACTGTGGCTTCAAAGAGGAAGGCATTCACGATAACAGAGCAACCTGTTATGAAGATCTTTCATCATGTCTTCAAAACTGACCCCTCTATATTTTTTTTTAATTTCCCCTCAGTGGCTTCAGGTGTGACCCAGACTGTAACTCTACAGAGGCATTTAGCACCTAACAAGTCCCCTGTTCACATGCCAATCACACTTGCTCCATCGGGGACAGTATCTGCAGCTGTACCATCAGGGGGACATGTTACCAACATCGCACCAGCACCAATATCAGCTGCTGTGTCTAAAGGAATTTCAACACAAGCTGCTGGTGAGAAGCTGTATTTATAAGCATTATTCCAAGGATCTCTCTTCTTTTCACTCCTTTCTCACTGTGTTTGATGGAAAGTGGGGAAGGGGGGGGGGGAAGAGAGGCCTTTGGAACAAGGTTGCTTAAAACTTATAACGAAGATCAAGTGAAAATGAAGGTGGCAGAAAGAGGCCTGTGTTTCGAATTTGTAATGTCATCTCAAACGAGTTATTTAAAAGTAGTTTTGGACATTTATTTGGCAATTGCTATGTTTTCCCAGTTTGTATCCCAATGAACTCAAGCTTCTTTGATTTTTTTATTAAAATAAGCAGCAAAAGAACAATTGGACCTTGTTTTCTGTGCAAGATGATAACAAGAGTGTTTGACAATTTTGTAGCTCTCAGTTAGTACATGCGCTATGATTGGTCAATTTAGCGGGCCGTATTTCACCGTACTGCCCGTTAGATTCAAAAGTTTGTTTTGGTCGAATATACGTGCATTTACTTTGATCTCTGATTGGTTCCTAGAGATTTAACCTTCGTTCTGATTGGCGGGGGTGAATGGTTTGCTTTTGATTTTACAACTATCAATTGAAATGCTATCTTTCGCTCAGTTTTTTTTCCTTAGTTCTAATTTGTTTCACGTTATCTTTATCACTATTCATTTCTAGGAACATCCCTGAGGGGGGACAGTAGTAGCCCGGCACCGAACCAAGTTCTGACCAAACGACGACTGCAAGATTTGCTTCGCGAGATTGACCCTCGAGAACAGATGGACGATGATGTTGAGGATGTGAGTTTCTTTTTCCCCCCCCCCTCCCCCCCGTCCCTTTTTCTTTATTATAAGGTTGTAAGCAAGTGTGGTGTCTTAGATACTTTCAAAAACTACTTACAGTGTTAGTGAGTAATGTTGCCAAACAAAGCTCCAAGGGGCAGCTCTGTACAAGCTAAGAATAGACAAGCAGCACGTTGTTTCTGATTGTTCATCGTACGTCCGATTCATCGACATAGCCTGGGGTTATGATGAGTGCAAATTGGCAAAATTCTTGTTTTCAGCCTTCTTGGCCAGACAAGCTTGATCAACTAAGGATTTTATCCTGGCCCAAAAGGTTACTACAAAGAATTTTGCTTTGTTACAAAATAAATTCAAGAGATTTGTCCTATTTGGCTGACGGTTGCAGCGTTTAGTGACTCTATTCCTGTCAAACTTTTGGCGAACTTTTAACCCTAAGATGAAACCAACTTCTCAGTACTAAAACTGTGAGAAGTAAGGGGAATGATTTATTAGATATTGAGAGTGAAGTGGTTAAGCTACTGTGAGGAACTTCTAAAAATTTTAAGACTGGTTTGTTTTCCATGTTACAGCTGTTACTGCAGATTGCAGATGACTTTATAGAAAGTGTTGCAACGGCTTCCTGTCAGATCGCTAAGCATCGAAAATCAAACACATTAGAAGTACGAGATGTTCAGCTGCACCTAGGTTTGTATTTCACAGAGTTCAATCACGATTAGACTATTCTCATCAACATATTTCTTAACAGTGCATGTGTAGGTATTAAGAGACATGCTAGTGTAATGGTTACTACGCCGGACTCCCGATCAAGAGGTCTGGGGTCGACCCCCCACAGGGGTCCTTGAGTTGTGCTCTTGGGCAAGAGATTTAACTCTCGCATTGCTTCTTCCCCCCCCCCCTCACCCCACCTCCCCCCCTGCACGAATATAAATTGCTACCAGCAAACTATAAAGGAAACAAGGAAACATAACAAAATGCTTAGGTAATCACTGCATCTTTTTAGGCCAAAATAATTAAACACTTGTCTTGCACTGAGTATCTCAACTAGTATGTATAGTCTGTTATCTTATTATTTTTGTTTTGGTTGTTCTGTGTACATTTTATAGAAAGGTGTTGGAACATGTGGATCCCTGGATTTGGTAGCGATGAACTTCGACCGTTTAAGAAACAGGCCACTACAGAAGCTCACAAACAGGTCAGTGCAAAAAAGTTGTTTCAAATTCTCGCCGTTCTTGTCATAATAGGGTTAATTCACAATTGTAAGAAAATTTTTGCAACCAATATATTGGCTGTAACTTACATGGACGAAAAATATCGAAATAAAGGCTCAACTTTAAAACTGTTTGGTGCAATTCAGAACAATTTATTTAGGTTGTGGAAGATTGAAAAAAGAAAAGATTAAAACGGATTTTGGTCATTTGAAATACCAAGGTAGCCAGACTTGGTTAGAGTTTATCTCAATTTGAATAGAGCTGTCGTTTATACTGTCTGAAACATATATCTTTGGTGTTCGATTGCCGCGGCTTTTCAAATAAATATCAGTCACCAATCTGTCAAACTGAAATTCGTGAAGGGTTATTGGAACGGAATTTTATAACTAATTGAGAGGAAAATTTAGTTTGTCACCGGAAATAATGTTCCAACCCAATAACGCCGTCACTGTTTTATTGCCAGGGTCATCTTATTCTCTAGTAGAGAGGAGGATTAAATGGTTTAAAGGAGAGGCGTCTCTTACTTAAATGATTCATTGTTGACTTTCTTATCCGCGTCACTCTCTCTCCGTTTTACGATCTGACTTGGACTGGGATGCTCTTTCGTGTGGCAAAGTTCCTTATCACAGGGCTAATTTCGTTGAAAAGTATCATTGATTGGTTTGTTTTTACGTTGTTTCTGAGATATTTTCCGCCACTTTTTGTATCTTGCAGAGGTTGGCCTTGATACGAAAATCGATGAAGAAGTAATACAGACGCTATGTTATCTTGTACGTAAATTGTTATTTATGATGATGCACGATATAAGAGGTGCTGGTTTTATTGTTTAAGGGAGAGCTCACAGTTTAAAAAGTATGGCGTTTGTTGATAGGTCGATGGCTCTCGTTGATTTCTTCTTCCTGTTACTGTAGTGATGTTAAGTTTACTTAGATTAAGAAATTTTCCTACCCTGACATCAAGAGAATTCGGCATAAATATTTCAAGCCATTTGACTTGAAATTATTTGCAATTTCAAACAAGTGCGCAAGAGCATGGGAATTAAAGGCAATTATATCAAAAGCAGTAGTTAACACCTTTCAAGCTTCCAGGATCTAATTGTTAATTCTCCCTTACCTTATACACATTTCTCTTTAAATAAGTTATGAGAATTTGCTGCTAGAGCAAGATAACAACTTCCATCCGATAAGTTTGAGTATTCTCGTTACCTGTTTGCAGGATAATGTATAGATGTTATCGGGAGAAGTTACATGTTAATCACTTCTTGGGGTTAAAGAGTTGAACTCCAGAAGAACGGCCAGTTCGAAATACAGGAGAGAAAAATCCATGAGCTTTCAGAAATCCTTTTTTATTTCTTACGCTTCGCATGAGGAAAAGCCCTCAAAAGACCCAAGGGGGATGTCGCAAACGATTAGTTGAGTACGAAGAAAATTGGCTTTGCACGAGCGGGTTACATATTATGGTACATTGTGCGTCTGTTGTCTGCAAGAACACAACGTAATTCACGAAATTTTCTCAGCCCGATGGGAAATTTCCATATCTCTATTTATAGCAAAATGAATTAGTTTTTTCACTCGTTTAAATTCTGATACCAAGAAAGAAATTAAATAGCTTTACTGATAGAAAATAATTAATAGATTATAGCGCAATTTTCATTCACGTTTTTCTTGGTGTTATTTCATCTTAGTGTTTGAAGTTTCACATGCAGACGAATCTCCAAGGATCAAACCATCTGGCTAGGGCGTGGCTGGGTGCTTGCAAGAACCCTCCCCCCCCCTTCCCCAGGTTGGTTAAGGGGGTATAACCTTATAACGAACCAATGGCCTCCTCAAAGAGTGTTAAGAGTAGCAATGAGACGATGACGTTTAACCCGCGACCAGGCCCTCATCACGAGCGCTGTGAGACGCGGGTTTCTCGTTTCTTTTCCCCCCTCTCTCCCCAAAGTTTTGAGACGAGTCGGGGAAGGCTTTGCATCGGGTACCAATGTTCTACACTAAACAGACTAAAAAGAGTAGTATTGATATAAATTGAAGATGTTCATCAAAGCCAAAGTTTTGGTTTCCAGTCGTTTCGTACTCACGGTTGTTTCGTGCCCAGTCGGTTCGTAACCAGACCGCCGGTCGATCGTATCCAGAACAAGTTGGTTCGTACCCGAAGCGCCGGTTGATTCGTACCCGAACTGCCGGTCAATTCGCACCCATGCTAATATACAATCATTCGGAGTACCTTTAGCAAGCGCGTGAACAGCTGTCGATTGTTGCTTACTAGTTAACAGAGTCATGTGAGTAACATATCAGAAAAATTCTGTTTTGTATCCCGGCTTGTGACCCTCGTAACAAAAACACCAAATTATTGCCTAGTGCAAAATAAATGTGGTATTCATGATATAACAGTCCATTGTTTATACTTGAGGCGTTCTTAACAATAATAACTAGTGATAGTGTGACATTTTTCTCCCTTTGTAGTAGATTAGTTTATCCTTGTTTATTCGTGCATTCTATTCTTACTTTAAACATACTTAACGTGGAAAACGTACTTTATTAGTATGGGTACGAAACGACTGATTGGGTACGAATTGACCTAGTTGGGTACGAAACGACCGTGGGTACGAAACAACTGGTAACCAATTTTCATATGATTGGAATACTACAAAACTGCCCATTTAAACCCTCTTTAGTTGTTGGAGGCTTAAATCTTTCTTTGGAGTAAAGGACTATTCAAATTTCCAAAATCTGCTTGGTGAGGTGGCCTTATCTTTTGTAATTGCTCCCTTCCCCTCATAAATTGAATCTGTACCCTGAGGAAAAAACATGAATTCAAATCTGACGCCGTCTCGGATCAATTTCACTACCTGAGCAAATGCACACCTCCAAGAATGATCGACATCTGCCAAAGAAGGCTGTTACGATAAAAGATGGTACACCTCTGAGAATTTTAAATGGGCTTAACCTGTCTTCCATGGTAAACCATGGGGATTTAATTTGAAAAGAATCAGTTGAAAAGAATCGTTATCTCACACATAAAGACAGGAACATGAGTTTTGAAGGCAAAGGCATTAGGATGTGATGGTCCATCAGACTGCTTCCTCACGAATAAACCATTTGGCTGAAGGACGGTTTAGAGGGGTGAAGGTGTATAGGGGTAAGCTTAGTGATTAGCAAAACATGACGTCATGATGATGTCACGATTAAGTCATCGTCTATCATTTTATAGAATATTAACCGTGTACTCTTTAATGAAATGATGAATGTTATAACTTATAATGAGATAATTTTTTTTCTTAAAAGTTTCTCTCTGTGGTTAAAACTACAACCGGTTTATAGGCAAAATCTCATAATACTGTTACAACATCAACAATTAGACATTGCTCGTGTGGTGAAAGTTCCTTAGAGTGTTCCTGAGCGACATTGGGACTTGAAACACAGTAGGACAAGAGCAGAATACAACCAGCTAACACGTGGAATGCTCCTGCTACATAGAATGTGAGGGAGTACGATCCGGAGAAGTCGGCAAGAAAACCTAAAAAAAATTAAAAGGGATTGATTAAAGAAACTGCCTCGCAGAATGGTTTTCCACAGTCACCAGCTTGGGCAATAATTGATTTACTAACCATAGGAGACGATAAATTATCCTCTCTTTCTTGCCATTGGCAAATCATGATGTTTTTCTCAACCTCTTCCAATAATTTTTAATGAATAGATCTTCTGTTACTAAGAAAAGACTCGTGTAGGCACTGCTTTCATTGATGCTCGTTTTCCAAGAAGCTTAACCTTAGCAAATAGTATGAAAGGTAACGTAAAAGAAATCAAGGGCCAGCGTTTGCACTCACCTCCGAAAGGGGGGCCCACTGCTAAAGCGAACGCAATACAGAAATGGAAAAATCCAAATCCTTGAGAGCGTTGTTTTGGGGAAAGTGCTGCCAAAGCCAAGATGTTCATTGAAGTGACTATAGCCCCGTCGGCAACAGCATAAGCGACAAAACAGGTCAATAGTTCGGTGTACGACTGCGTTAAGGTGGTTAGGATTGTAGTTGCTCCGGCAACGAAAACTGCCACTTGCATAATTAGCCTTGGATACAGTTTGTTCCTGTCGCACACGGAACCCGTTAATGCCCTCAAAATAACTGTCACTATTCCGTTCCAAAAATACATCATAGATGCGCGGTTTGCGTCAATTCCACGTTCTTGACAGTACTCTGCCTGTAGGAGAACAAGTGTAACCTGAGCTTGAGCTCAATTGTTAGGTAATGCTTTACTAGCACAATGGTTTGTGCGATGAGGTAATGAAGACTAAATATCTATTTTATCTTTTCCAACATGATCAAGGGAGCTCTGTCAGGCTTTAACGCGTTCGACTCCCATTGAGAGCACTCGGAGTCCTAAACAAAGGCTTTTTTCTCCGAGTATGCCTTAATTTTTCATTAACTGAAAAAAACATCTTCTTTCACCTAAATAAACAGGCTTGAAATTTACCATCTTCATTTACATCATCATCGTTCACCGGGGCGTGTAAATGATCCACTTCAAGTTTCACATCAACTTACCATGTGAACCAAAGGAACTGTGATTCCGCAAAAACACGTGATACTTCCAATTAGATGGATAACAAACTGCTTATTTCTCAGATATGAAAAATCTAACGTAGGGCACAACTTGTTCGGCTTCTTGTCTTGATCAGTGCTGTCCTTATCGTTGTCCCCAATCTTCGAGTCGAATGAACAAGACAATATGCAAGTCACGAACAACATCCCTGCCATGGCAATAAATGTGATTCTCCATGAGCTCACTGTCAACAAGGCCTGAATGATGGGGCTCATTACAATTAATCCCCCTCCACACCCCATAAGAACGAGCCCTGTTGCTAACGAGCGCCTTTTGATGAAGTACTTGGGCATTATAGTTAGCACAACAAAGAAGATACAGCAATTTCCAAAGCCAAACGCAACGCCAAACGTGAAGTACATCAGAGTTAGATTTGGAGCTTGCGAAGTAGCAAGGAGGGCCATGGTAGAGATAATACCCCCTGCAATACCAACTGTACGGTGGTTGAATCGATCACAAAGAAGTCCTACAACTGGTCCGAATAGACTGCCGCATGCATACGCCAGAGAACCAACCCAAGCTGGAAGAACAGATAAGAAAAAAAAAACAACAAACAGAAAACAACGGTCTCGAAGAGCGCAAGCACTATCTCCTGACAGAAACCCTTGATAAGTTTTATGTCAAACTTTACCCATTGTGAAATACTAACGGAGATATCCATGTTTATTTAACAGAAAAGGCGTTGGGTGCATCTGACAATAAGTCTCGTCTTTATACAGCAATGAAACCTCTATTAATCGGACGTCTCGCGGGACCATCCCGAGGGTCCGCTTAATAGAGATTCGTAAAAATTGCACAATGTTTGTTAACGATTCACATTCAACGGTTACTCTGTACTGTGATAAAGTTCCATGTTGTTAACGAAGCTATCCAGAGTTCAAGTTCATTACCTTTCATTACCAACTTTATTTGTTGGTAATACGCAAAACAGCAATGGTACATGGACTGATTACTTTTAATTGACAATTTCAATGATGTATCCCATACACTACATTGTCAATTCAGACCGGTTCCCCACTAATAGAGGATTTTAACACTAGAAATTAACCAAATACATGCTATTTTAGTGCCCGCGTCCTCTTAGTAGAGGAGTCCGCTGAATTAGGGTTCGTTACGAAGGGAAATACGAGACGTCAATTTCGGGACCCGGCTTAGTGTCCGCTAACTAGAGGTTTCACTGTAGGTGTTAAAGAAAGTATGGTAATCTAGCGGCACGATTTACGTAGCTCAGCAACAGAAAGGGAAATTAAAACCGATGTCTTACCTGTCTTGGCTTTTCCTTCTTTGAATTCGTGCAGTAGCACTGGGAATAGAAGACCGTATGAATACGAACAGCCGATGGCGATCAAAATGCATAGAAACCCACAGAAACATACAAAATAAGCATACGGGCTGTCAGGCTGTTTACATTCCCCCAAATATCGCGAAATCCGCTTGAAATCATTGCATCCTCTTCTCTGTTCCTTGATGACCTCCTTTGTCAGCAGAAAACTATCACCCTCTGGTCCCTCCATAAACGCTTGGCTGCTCTAAATTGGATAGAATTTCTGTGTTTTATAGAAACTTCACAAAGCAGAATACATCTTAAAGAAGTTACGCCTCGTTGAGTCTGCATAATTACTCACAAGAACCAGACGAGGTTATGCATGCAAATTAAGTCGAACTGAAAAACAAAATATTATTACTTAGTGTAAACATTTTCTTGGACTTTGGCCCGACAACAAAAGCACGAGATTAAGTGGATGCCTAAATAGGACTAAATATTTTAAAATGGTCATCTCGGCTTAAAAAATGGTAACGGCAACGGTTTATGTCGTGAAAACAAAATGAAAATAATTTAATTTTTCTTTGGTTTGATGAGGTGATAACGAATAACATCACGTACAGTCGTTTAGGTGAAACGAACGAACGAAACCTGTTCACCGGGTATTTTTTTTCAATACCAGTACAGTACAATATTAAATATCGCATTATTGATTTATCGCTGCGAAGTACCGTAGAACTCCGCTAACTCGAACAAGATCCGTTTTTCCCCGAACTCCTTGTTAGCTCGAACTAATTCTACGTTACCTTTGGCCCAAATTCACCCTAAATACCTCGCGTTTGATGACTTTCATAAGTGTCTGAGTGTCACGTCCTAATCTTAAATCGCGATTGAGTCGAACGTGATAACATTTATGAAAATGTAATACATTTAGCAAAACGTATAAACTACTTAAAACTTTAAAAAACAAAACAAAACCAAAAAAAATCTAAATGAACTAAAATGATTGTTGATTGTGTGAGAATGGGAAAACATTATTCCTTTTTGTAATATCTACTCGCTTACTCGCACCATTTTTCGTTTTCCTTGGAAAGTCGAATTGGCGGAGTTTTACTGTAGTACAGACTGTTTTGAGCCAGCTTTATTCTACAGCTTATTTTATCGTATTCTCAGTCCCTTTTGTATATTTTCGGGTAAACTCCGCGTTTTCTTCGAACTGGCCCATATAGCAACAGGTAGATAGCTGGTGTCAAACCACAATATCCAATTGAGTTCTTCGCATCAGAATTTTGTTTTTCGAACATGGGAAGGGGGGAGGGCAGGTCAGGGAGTGAGAAGTTCCCCCCTTCACGTTCCTTCTCCTCTCCTTTTGCGTACCTTCAATTCCCGTCTTCTGCCCTCTATTAAATAATTTTTTTTTCTGTACAATTTTTTTATACAGACTGAAGTTAGATTCACAAGCTGTGCGACAAGATCACTTCTTTTTATTAAGAGCGGTATTGTCACTTTTCCAATAGTCATACTCAGTACTGGAACAATAAAAATTGAATAACTCTTCTAGTTAACGATGCATGCACCGACGATATCGGAAACCAAGGTATTGTTTAAAAAAAAATTAATACTTCACTCTTAGTAGTCTTACAATGAGGTACGGAGTTTCACTTGATTTTTTCAATGAGAGACTTAATGATTCACTTAAAAATATATACCAAGGTTTGTAAGAATTTAAATTCAAAGAAGAAATTTTCCCCAAAAAAACTTCAAAAGTCAAAGGTCCTAAAATTTTGAATTTTTGTCAACCTAATTAAATTTTGAATTTTTGTCAACCTAATTAAACATAACTGCAGATATGAAGAACACGAATATATCAACGACTTTGAACGTACATTCAACCCTAAAACCGTTTTATATAAGCACCATTTGCGGCCGAATTACACACAAAACACAAAGACGTCAAGACCTTGGAGCAGGAGGGCCTTTCATTTCACATTTGCAGCTCTAGTTTAGCTTATTTCAATAGATTCAAAGTAACTTTCCCACAAAAAATCTATAATTCACGCAGCGATGCAGAAAAAATGGCGATAGTGAATGCTGATAGCTTAATGACATTAAAATAAGCTACGGGCAATTTTAGTTCATCGGAAAATTAGTAGAGGAAATATTTTGCGGCCAGAGTTTATTCATTTCAATCATGTTTTTTGCAATGCAACCTTTCGCTGACAGGAGATCGTCGCTTCGCCAATCACTAAGGCAAATAAAATTCTCTTGTAGCTCTTTCTCGGCCCCTGGCAACTCATGGTGAAAAATGCAAGCAAGCGGCGAAGAGTGTTATTGTCACGTTCGATTGAGACCAATTTGGTAAAACATTTTACATCTGTTTAAACTACTCATTTGTTAGAGGTATCTAAGGTCTAAGTTTTTGAGATCTGAGTATTCGTGATACCCCATTTGTTGTTGTTAAAAAGCTGTTCAAGACAAGATCCTTTAAAATAATTTAAATTTTCTTTTTTCGCGGACACAGTAGATAACCACCACATTTTTAATTGACATGGAATTTTGAGGTTGGTCTGTGTTTCCTTGTAAATAATCGAATTTATCAAAAAAAAAAAGTCAGTTGAAGGCCGAAAATCGTCTCAATGTCTTGAGGATTGCGCTTCCCATAACATCCGATGAAAGGCCTGTTCCAATGACCAATTAAACATATACTTGTTTACTTCAACGCATGGAAAGGACCAACCAACTAACGATTAACCATTACATTTTTAACAACAGTTCGCATAAAGCTAGCTTTTGAGGATGAGCTAAAACTTGAAAATCGTATCAGCTGTGTATTTTCCTGATGAGAACATTCGAGGTGATTCAACAAACCTTCATCTTCGTGATCTTCAAGGGGCTTTCCACTGACAAAGGAGTTGAAGTCGGAGTCGCGTAAGCGATTTTCACCCGGTGACAGCACCTCTGAAGATCGGGGTCACTCTCGAAGGACTCGGAATCGAAATAATCAGACTCTTTCTGTTTTCTTCACATTCGGCTCGTAATTCCAACGCTCACAATCCATAGCGTGATCCATTCTTCAAAAACATTATCGATGTGTTTTTCGAATCGAATGTCAAAGTCACG